CTAAAACTCCAAACAATCATACGATGACTGACATGCGGTGGGAGTTATAGCATCCCAGATTCAAAAGGACCTCAATAACTTAACTATATGGAGTAAAAAATGACAATTTAACCTCAACAAGTGAGGGATCATACACTTTGGAAAGAATCCCTATAAACCGCAACTTCACTTAAATGAAAGTAGAGTCCAAACACTCGAATCAGTACACGATTCAGGAATTAATTACACAGGAAGCCTGAACTTTGAAGAACATGCCTCCTCTATTATTTCTAAATCTAGACGGCTAATCTGTTTTATAATGAGAAACTTTTTCACAACAGAGGGTAAACTTACTCTCTACAAAATATGTGTACGACCCTACCTTGAATACTGCTCTTTTGTCTTCTCTAATATGAATATCACAGACAAGATAAGAGTAGATGTTCAAAAACGTTTCACACGTCAACTAATAGGGTGTAACTCGAATCTCGATTACACAGATAGATGTAAGCATCTATCTTTAGAGCCTTTATGGCACCGTAGGCTAAAGAACAATTTAATATTTCTCCACAAAGCGATATATGGGCTCTCCTTTCTAACCTCCTGCCTGACTATCACCCACGACTCAGCCTATAGACTTAGAAACAACGCATATACACTACTTACCGTAAAACAAATGCGTTGTAAGTTTTTTACAGTACGGTATAGCTTATTGTGGAACAGGCTGCCAATGCCTATCCGCAACTGTGATACGTTTACCAGATTCAAAAAGCTAATAACCCTATTTCTAGACTCCAAGTAGCTTCAACATTTCCCTTAAACTCCCGCCCACCAATGAGGCACTTTATTACGGACCGCCCAGTATCTAGAAAGAACAAGATTATAACAAGTTCGATTGTTACTAATACGAATATAACCAAATCACAGAATATATGGCTTATCCTTTCCTATTATTCATTGTTTATTAATCATGGCCTTATGCTCCTAACCCTGGCTTTCAGTTCCCAAATCTCTACAGGTTAAATGTACGTTATTCTTCCTAAAAGTCATGCCTTTATTTTCTACTGCAAGTAGACAAATAGCTCAATCTTATGGATGCTGATCTACTAAGGCCGATTATACAAAGCTCAAAACCTAGCCACAAAGTCTTGTGAGTTTCTCAATGTTTTGTTTTTCTTACCATAAAATCTTTCTTCTTTTCTACAATTTTATACCCTTTCATATCTTTTGATTTGCTATTAGTCCTTACTTCTTTAAACCATTAGTTACCTTCATAGCAGTGTGATATACTATGTGGACATCTAACCCATAAAACAAACTTTTCAACTATCTGATTTGCTTGTAACATGGACCTAGTAGAGATAGTGCATTCCAACTATGGGCTTTGATTATAGCAGTATTCATACCACAAACGTAAGAGAGCCTAACATCACAAAAGAAGGGAGGGTGGCGTTACTGACCAGCAAACATGATGGTAGGGAGATAAATTCAATCCACCCATGTCTGTAGGGCAGAACATTTTGTTTAATTACGGCTCCTTATGGTTTAGTGGGATGTCACGAACTTATGGTATTGATGCTGATTTATCACGCAAAACACCTCTTTAAATCGTGTTACGAACGTTGAATTGGTTTCACTTCCTACCCAGAAATCCTATTACAAGCAAACCAGACAATTCGCTAATATACGAAGCCTACTCAAGACCCTATAATCATACAAAAAATAAGAGGGGCTCTAATAGCTTCGATAATAAAAGGAAGATAGCCAAATGTATATCACAATACTGTTTCTAGCACTATATTTTATTTTATAACCACACATAATCCCATACTCTCAGCTCCTTTCCGAATCGCCTCCATTTGTTAGTTGTATGTCCACTCATACCTTGTTAACACTTATTTTCTTTAACCTATTAAAATGCTCTTTCTTAACAAATACCTTAATAGAAGAAAATTAGACTGAGTAATCATACCTTAAACATTCCTTCATGAATATTGGCTACTCTGCCTCTCGTCCTTTTTTCTACTTGCTCCCTCTTTCAGCCTCCTTGTGATATGGAACGGGTGATTTCATCCTGCACCATCCTCAAAGCCTTAGACATTTCAAAGGGACATAAGGTTGCGATTTCTAGAAGCTCTTACCTTCAATTGACATATCCTTGACCATCAGTCGCACGTTCGCAACGTAACTTTCATGAAGCGCGCCAACTGCGATACTGATTAAAACCGTCTACATTCATATCTTATAAATTATCAACCCAGCTGTGTAATTTACTACAGTGGATATTATATCATTTGTAACAATTTGATCTTGCCTGTAAACTGGCATGCCTCATGCAACAAACTGTTATTTGAGAATAAATTATTATTATTATTATAAGCAAGGTTCCTGGAGTCGGTTATTGCAAACAATCAGAAGCATGGGCTAACGGCGGAGATTTTGTCATTTCTGGTATATCTACAAAAGATCCATGACTAATATTGTACACCAAAATCAATAAATCTAGAATAATATTGGTCGATACTGTATATAAATTCATTAAAGACGTACTGAGATCTCTTAATACAGTATTATCATGGATGACTGATTATCAGCATCGTATTTGCTATACGAATACAACAACTTTTTCAACCAAAGTCTGAACATCATATTTAGAATGCGAAGACCACGTTTACGTTAAAGGATGAGACAACTGAAGAGAGAAATTATGCTATTGAAAGGTTTATGACCATTAAGTTCCACAGTTATGGCGAACAAAGTTATTCAATCTGATGTCAATATACTTTACTCGATAATCCAGGATTTGACCAAATCGATTATCCGTGGCTCAACAACTTTGAATATTATCATCGATGGTTGGTTTAGCCCTAAAAATAAGTTGTACCGGATTAACTTAAATCAACAAAGATTCGAAACTCCATAAATTACCTTAAGTAAACACAAGACTGAAAGGTTCTCGTATGTCTTACTTATCCAATATCGAACAAGCTATCTGTAGACATGTTCATTTGAGCGCAGCTTTAGTAGTGAGATGAATGACTAAGGACAATCAACTTCAAGGTATGAAGCAAAGAGCTCAAAAGATGCTACAGAAATTCAGGTTTTAGCGATGCTGCTGGTCGTGGCACCCTAATTTCCGAAAGATACTAACTCATTCAGATCAGAAGTCAGGGATGAGTGATTTTGAGGATATATTTGGAAAGTTGCATATATACCGAGGTGCGTTTGATTTAATCTGGCTAGTATTTGCGTGGGATGAGAAGTACGAATTACTAGTGTGGATGCATGACCGAGCGTCTTCAGCCAGGGTATGTTCAGTAAAACTACTAAGGTAAGCATCAATGGCGAAAACCTGGAGAACTATTTATTGTATAGAATTATTCGCCATCACGTCACGTTAAGAATAATTCATTAGTATGTTTCTATTATCAGTGGTTATAATATAACTGTAGTTTTAGCTTGCTATGTCCAGTTGCATTATTGCATATTTTATTTATAAACTGATAAGAAAAACAAATCGCTGTCTCATGTTCAAAATTCGTCATTAACAATAATGATGTGTTATTATACCTTCTTTCTGTTGAAACAAAGTGCACCAACAGTACCAATGATAATCACCTAAAATCACTTCAGAAGTAGACCGCTGTAGTGACTCCATCAAACTAGTGCGGCTAAAAACAATGAAAGATTCAGTGTTTAATCTGTTTCGTCTGATCACTTCAAATGCTAATCAAGATACAAGCCTATACATATGCTTCAGATAAGTGTACTTTAAGTTTAAATATGCTGTTACTCAGGCGGAACGTTAGAGTACTTAGTTCAGCTCTAGATCTCAGCTCGTCATATTCTTATTTACCACCATTCAAGGTACATAGTAGTCCGACAGATTCATAAGTTTGACATACCGAACAGAGGTGCAGGATTACTTGTAAGGTTTTCAAATTACCTTGTTCTATTTGCAAGCGATTAAGAAAACTTGACCGTTAATCTCATGCGTTATTCCAGGGTATTTTGTTTTTAAGATAGAAAATATCTATCGAAGATGAAGGCTTTATCTGATGATTAGTTGTTGGGGTATTCAATATACATATCACTGCTGGTCATAGAAACTGAATATCATTCACGAACCTCAAGACTGAGCTTTAAGATATGATAAATGACGAATCCTTAACGTTCCAGTATTTAGAATCTTTATTTCATCATGGACTGGCCTTACTGACAAAGTTCTCCTAGTCTGTGTGACTACAAACCTCTCAGTTAACAGGAAGGGATGAACAACCGTGAACACCTGAAGCTGATTGCTATTTCCTCCATTCTCACTTCTAGAAATATTATTCTTATTATAAATAATGAACCAAATTCTGACCACCTCTTCATCTTCCACCAAAACATATTAGTTTTTCTTAAAAGCTTTCCTGTTTAGTCTGTTTACATAAACTACTTCTTAACTCAGACCGTTACATTCCTTCTACTTATTTACTATCTCATTTTATATTCTTCAATATTATATACGAAGAATTTGTAGCCTCTTAATGTGACAACACACATTTTACGGAAAAAACCCACCTATGCATACGCAGAAAATACCACTATTTATCGAGTTCACTACATTAAATACATCCAATTTTCTAGGAAACATATATAACTGGTCGGACTATCTGCTTGTAGTTTCGATTCAGAGACTGTTTTCTTCTGAGGCTTATATTATGCTTATTTTGGATTGATTTTGATATTAAAAGTAAGTGCATAGTATGAACTTGCCGCAACATGGACCCAACTTTCCTTATGCTCTATTTTCCATTACACCTTACGCACTCCCGGCTGGACCACAAAGTAACTTCTATCAAGAAACAAACCGCTAAAAACTCATTGAACGATACCAAACAGTTAGGACCGCCTTGTGAAGGCATGAAGTGGGCTCTAATATATAAATTAATTTACACCAACAAGTCTAAAAGACCACGCGTATTTGATATTGAACAACGCATGTTCTTTGTTTTCTCTTGCTGCTGCAGAACGTTTTTTTTTAAATTTACAGTTTGCCGTTAGCTGTTTTCGGTGGATGAGATGGTTTGCCAAATGATCCAATAAATTGACATTATATTAGGCTAGTGACAAAGTGTTATTATTTCAAGGATGTCTCTCTGTGTTTGGAGGAGTTTTGTTGCATCTTAGCTTTGGATATTTTTATACTGTTTGTAAGTTCCTAAATATACAGTTTTCACATTGTTGAAGCCAACATGGTTCCATATATTATGGACTACCTAAGAACATATGTTAACCCAAACTTATCGGATAAGGACGCAATTTGGTTATCAGCGCTAGGATTTTGTACTCAAGGCTTTTCCATGCCTGCCGGGGGATTAATTGCAAAAAAAGTGGGGTTTAGAATAGTGGTTGCGACAAGTTGCATATTTTTGAGGTAAATATATTTTAAAATTTGGTTTTATGGGATAGAATGCACACGACTCAAAGCCTTTATTTTCATTGATGTCTATCATTCATTCCCTTTCTGCCCATAAATTCTGGTCTCGCCCTTTATTTTTTGTAATCTTCGTAGAATTGATGAAATTGCGTGTAAAACATCGTAATATACGAAAATAGGGCTATAAATGAAAATTACTTTTCAGTAAATCAATAGAGAACTGTGGGTTTATAGGTGCGGATGTTGTTAGTAACATGATGTACTTAGGAATTTCGGATGGAAACCAGTGTTATTTCCGCAGCTGTTAAGCTCAACGTTTAAATAAAGACTCAATAATCAACAAGAAGTTTGTGCAAGCATGAAAAAGTACCGAAATTGTTGGAACGTTCGGTATTACTCTCGGAAAACCAAGGCATAGGAAATTCGATAGGAATTTCGCGCAAATTTAATCAAAATCATTAGTAACATTTCTAACCCTGTGTAAAATCAGGGTTATTTTATCACGTTTTAACTGAGTTTCACCGAAAATTAATAACGAAATTTAAGTAAAATCAACACTAAATTGGGCAGCTCGTTAATGTTGGGTGTTCATGTTCAATTATTGCTTAGGTCGCAGCGTTTGAAGAATTATCTTGCAGAACGTTTCGTTATTATAGGATAGTGCTTTTTCATCAAGTTTAAGTTTTAAATTATGGTTACCAGCTGATTGAGTGAAATGGGATTCTATATATTTTGTTCTGTAACTTGCATTTAAAAGCAGTTTAATTAGAAACCAGGACATCAGTATATACTCCAAACGTAAAAACCCACAATTTACATCATCAGTTATCGGGTTGTAATTTCACTGTTGATTTACAAGTAGGCTTAAAAATGCAATCTGCTAAATGACTTCATCAGTAAATTTTTAAAAATGTAAAGCTGTAAATGCATTAAATGTAGACAAATAAACCAAAAAATTGATAAGCCTGAATAACATTTAAATCGCTGAAACAGTAAAACCGTCTGGCATAATACCGAACACAAAAACGAGTTATTATTTCAAAACTTTCGCGTAACTAAAGTTGCGTATGTAGAACAAAACATGTTATAAATCAAGATGATTACATTCTTTGTCTATTAGGCTTATGAGACAACGCAGCCGTAGTTTGAAAACTTTTACATCTCAGAAAACTATCTACAACAGTTAAAGTGCTAAGTAGCACACATATTGAGGTTACTAATAATTAGTAAAATCGATTGAAAAAAGTAATTAACGTTATCTAAAACATTTCAAAATGACTAAGTTTTAAACAAAACAGTATGTTTTACAAGTCTGTGGAAATGTGTGTGCTTTTACTATTTTTGTCTAAATTAAAATAGAAAAAGTAGACAATAGACGCGCTCAACTATTCTGCTCACTATCATTAGTTTAGGAGTTGACACTGACCATCCAAGAATCAGCGCATCTCAAACATACTTGCACTGTCGCTGAAGACGATCAAAATACTAAAGGTACCTTTAGCATTCTTTTCGACCAAGACTAAACCATCATCTTGATCTAAATGAAGAAATAAATCTTCCGTGAGAACGGTCATTTTGAAAAAATTCAAGCAATAAAACCGTTATTATGAAAAACATTAGTGAAAAAATTAAATAAGAACGACGAAGTTGACAATACCGACGAAAACACCAAATATCGATGTCAATTCTGATGACAGGTCATCAGTTGCTCTGCGTGCACTATTAGCGCTCCAGTGGAGAGCCTGTATATGTTTGATGTACGTCTGTGGTACACATTTCAGTGGCGGACACTTCCGTAAAACATGTTGATCAATCGATTCGAACACCACCTCAGGGTCAAAAAGTAAAACTGTTTCGAAGTCGGTAGATTCACCTCTTTGCGGGACCCAACAAAAAGAAAATTACCACAAGAAATCAAGAGTGTACTTGTTTTTGTTTCATGAATCTGTATTAAGGAAGAGGGGCATGACAGTTTCAGTTAGTACTTACTTTGATAATTTACCTAAATAATGTGAATTTGGTGTATGTGTTTGATTTTCAACTAGCTATTGATGAGAAGCATAATAATAAGACTACACCATGTAGAGTATTTTAAACATGTTACTGTGCTTAAACTTATGAGTTTTTTCTGCGTATCCGCACATTGGTTGACAGTAAACAAGTGACCAAGTTGAAATCGCTAAAATTACTCTATGTTACTTTGATTTGTAAGTGTTTTTTTACTAGTAGATATTTTCTCCATTTGAAATTCTTTTACCTCGTTGGGCTTTACTCGTCTTTTTCCAACGAAATGTACTTATTCAAGGGTTGTTTGTTTTGATTTTTTATCACGAAGTTAACTCGAAATCATATTTAATGTAATGAAAATACCCATGGTATATGAGACAGATTTTCCGGTGAGTTCATTTTAATGCTAACTTTTCATGAGAGAACGTTTATTCTATCATTTGATTTCCATAATTAAGCACACAGGGCGATTCGTTAATCACGTAAATACTTTGTTGCTCTGATCTACTGCGTTAAGATTATCTATTAAATTAGGCCAATAACAAGCAGTGCTTGTAAGATCTTTATTCACAGCTGGTGTATTGATGATTTGAAATCAATATTAACTCATGAGCTTATAGATATTCTGATAACATACTTTTCTTTCACGTTTAACTATTGTATTTTTCAGTGGAAGCGTGTTTCTTACATATTTTACAATCCAGAAGACATTTGTTGGAGTAGTAATAACATATTCATTAACAATGGGTATAGGAATGGGATTCGCTTATTCTGTGGTGTTCGCTGTTGCAACAACAGTGAGTTTGATACACATTTATTGTATAATTTAGTGTTAATAAAGTCATTTGCAAACTTATTAAATCAATGATGTTGAAGTAGCCTAAGACAATTAAACTACTTTAAGATGCTAATGTAAAGCCATAAAATGTCAGAAACACGAATGTTGCTGATGGCGTACGTAGAATGGTGTTTTTTGTTCCGATAGTTAGGGAATGAAAATTACGGCAGAGTTTTAGACACAGAAATGATTCCTTAGGAATAAATATAGAAACTTGAGTGCGTATTAATTTGTGGATTAAGTTTCGGTAAAAACATTGAAAAGTTATATTTGTCGTTTGTTAATATAATGGTACGCATTTCCAATTTATGTTTTTAAATGTAGCTTGAGCAGAAATAAATTCGAAATAATTAACTAGATAATATGAAATGAATAAACATTATCAGAAGGAACACTGATATACTCGATATTAATCAATGTAAATAGAAAGTCTGATCTATTTTCTTCTAAGAAATTTGTTTATGGGGGAAAATGTTCGTTCTTTATTTCGTCATATTAACTATCTTCTTCATCATGTAATTCATACCATTTTATTCAACAGATAATACATCATTATCAAAGTTCAAAACACAAAGAAAAATTAAGATAAAACCTACATGTTAGGTTGTGTTGATCGCGGCAAAAATTACTGCTTTTAAACAAAATTATGAGTGAAGCATGGTTAAACTTTATTAAAAGAAAGACCAATAAACACTTAACGTTTATTTAGCGTTCCAATAGCTACCGTAATAGAATCAAAGCTTTAACTAGTATATTTATAAGGAGTTTGTTTTATTTACCATGTTTTAGAAATAATAAGGGATACTATGACTACTATTTCTTACTTAAGAATATGAGTTAGCATGATTTTAGTCTTCCTAAGACCGAATAAGTGACAAGATTGCTGGATGGATTTTTGACCTTTTGGCACCAGAATACTTTCTGCAAATAAACACAGAAGGGTTTTGTCAAAAACATTTAAGAAAACTGAAAAATACGTGGGAAGTGATAAATGAATTCAGCTATTAGTTTTGGTTCCTTTAATTTTTATGTAACCTGATATTAAATATACCTACAACAAAAATACATATTCACAATTGGTTAAGTCAAACATTAATGTCAACAAATCCATAGGTAATCCAAATGACTTTACTTGGGGTTATGGAACAAATGTGAGTATCGTTTAATAAAGAGCTACATTAAGGCACAATCTATATAGTGTTAATAAAAAAAGCCCCCATAAAGTTAAAATTACTGCGTAAAATGTAGACGGCCAAGCGATTGTTACTAGATTTCTGCAAAGTAAATGCATTCAAAAAATTAAAACAGTTTAAATTGTTAGTATGTGCAGACATGCTGTCGTCTCGTTGCCATCTTTTCTTACGGTTTTACTGACTGCATTTTGAACGACGAAAAGAATGAGTTTGACGGAGGCTTTTCAGTCTTCTTCAAGAAATCAGTCTTTCAGAGGCAGTGGTAACAGATAAATAGGCTGCACCAAAGCTACACTTGTGTGAGTCCTATAATGTTCTCGCTTAATAAACAGACAACGGCAACCACGTGCTATAACTGTTGTTATATAACCGTTTAGTTTTAACTAAAACTAATTCTCAAAACTGCCTAAATGATTGGCTGAAATAAAACATGTTTTCATCAGCCATCGCTGAGGATACACAATGATGGACTAACTCATTCTTAAGCACATATTTAAACACTGATCGTTCCCTAGTGCACGAACAGTTTTGTCTTCGTCTTACTAGGTCTAGAAAATTTATAGAACAGCCCCTCAAAATTCAGTCTAACGATAAAAATGTCAGTCGTACAATAAAATTGAGATAATGGGTAGAAGATATCAAAAAACAGATGAACTAGTCTTCGGATACTCCTCAGGTATCTGCTGTTACCAAACAACCTGAACGGGATGTCATTTGGAGCCTCTGACTCTTGAAGAAAATTAAATACCGTAAGAAATCTAAGAAGAGAGTGAAAGTGAAGCCCTAATGGACTAACTCTTAAGATCTTTAAGGGCGGTGGTACAGTTTTGGCACTAGTTAGGGCACTATTTAGAGCTTGGGAGGTTGATGTTATCTCATCTGACTGGCTTTGACTGCTGATCATTTACGTTTATAAGCGAAGACAAGAATTCTCTAGTGATAAATGCAGAAGAATCAGGCTGACCAATATATTGTGGAAATTATTAGCCTCAATAATCATCCGATTCTCAGCCACGTGGTAGTGAATAGGGAATCCAAAAAAATCAGGCTGACTCCATAACTGATTGTGGATATATATGCCAACTGACCTCTTTTCGGTAAGTTCTGGAAAATAGGCATATCTACCGACTTCGAAACAGTTTTACTTTTTGACCCTGAGGTGGTGTTCGAATCGATTGATCAACATGTTTTACGGAAGTGTCCGCCACTGAAATGTGTACCACAGACGTACATCAAACATATACAGGCTCTCCACTGGAGCGCTAATAGTGCACGCAGAGCAACTGATGACCTGTCATCAGAATTGACATCGATATTTGGTGTTTTCGTCGGTATTGTCAACTTCGTCGTTCTTATTTAATTTTTTCACTAATGTTTTTCATAATAACGGTTTTATTGCTTGAATTTTTTCAAAATGACCGTTCTCACGGAAGATTTATTTCTTCATTTAGATCAAGATGATGGTTTAGTCTTGGTCGAAAAGAATGCTAAAGGTACCTTTAGTATTTTGATCGTCTTCAGCGACAGTGCAAGTATGTTTGAGATGCGCTGATTCTTGGATGGTCAGTGTCAACTCCTAAACTAATGATAGTGAGCAGAATAGTGGAGCGCGTCTATCACTACTGTTATCTAGGAAGTTTCATCAGCTATTTTGGTCTCATTTCCAGCAAAATACCGGCACAGGTTCTGAAAGCTCAGCCGGTTTTCACTAAATCGCATCATTTGTGATGTAGGAAAGATCTTCGTTTTAATTTATGCCTGTAAACTTTAACCTTGTAAGTTGAGGATATTCTAAGGTTATTAGCATTTGGTCATAGATATCTTCCAAGTATCACTTGTGCATATTGGGGCCATCAAGTGAGCAGTCCTGAGGTTAAACGCAAGCCGAGTGATGCAGGCGGCGAATCCTTCATCACACGAGGTACTTGTGACAAGTATTGGGTAGCCCTAACCACCTCTTACTTCGACGCGTGATTGTTGATGTGGTAGTTTTGGAGGAAGCTAGAAACGGCTTTAGCAAGACATAACATCAGTCCATGAATTCACTGGGAATTGAACTGTGCCGTGCAGATGGGTGGATACTAAATACTTCGGATATACACGAGAGCTGTGATAATCAGTTAAAGATGCTGGGTAATAGTGCAGGTGCATTCAGACTTTGTCTTCCTTTAGATCCTAATTTTCTTGACTGCCCATGAAAATTATTTTGTCCTACATATCCACATCTCCAGTCATACCTTCAATGCCTGATCTTTACACCCCTAGCTACTGCTACTACTTATGGTACTTTGATGTGGCGTGTTAGTTCGAACTATTGTACGTATGTTGCAGGTTGGGTTCTGAGTATGACTGACTTAGTAAATTTTTCTTTAGTACAACTACAAAATGGTTTTACTCAAGTTGAGTGATTTGTAAAACCATACGGTCCGATATAAAGTGTTCATCACATAGAATAAATAATCTTAACAGTTTAATATCCTTGTCCGCTTGTATGTTTCCCAGTGGCTATTTAATGTATATTTATATTCACGCAGTATATGCATTACGCTCAAGTCTACATACAATTTTGCGAAGAATTGTTGACTTACGCAACGTCACTAAATAAAAACTTTCTAAATCATGCATTATTCCGTTTACAACAAAGTAGCGGTAACCTCCATTATCATTTTACAATTATCTGCACCAAGTTTTCCAGTATGTTCACCAATGAGAACAATATGGTAGGAATATCGGAGTAAGATACAATTTAAAGCCTAATAAATAAGATAGGACAGAACAGTTCTCATTTCCTTGTGAGTATATTGTTTTTAGTTGATTTGTATCTATAAAAAGTCAGCTCTATCTCGAATAACCTCTTCATAATGTTTATAGTTCTTCCGTTGAAAGCCCAAGCTAAAATGTCTAAAATAACTTGAGTGAATTCTCTGGATTGATTCTACAGGATTGTTGTTTTCTTTTGAAAGTTACACTAATTCCCCACTCACCATAACAGATGATCTACCACTGAGTCAAGCTGGTTTTATTGACGGTGCACTGACAATAGTGACATTTAAGGAATAAAGATACTTTCAACTTTGATAATTTGGATTTTAGTGGTTTCCAGAAAAACGTGGATTGATTGTGGGAATAATTGTAAGTGGATTTGGCTTTGGAGCACTGGTATTTTCGCCTATTCAGACTGCTCTTATCAATCCGACAAACGTAAAAGTAGACAATGTTACTCGGTGAGTTTGTTAAATTTGTGTTAATGTTTCATTATTTGTTTAATAATATAATATTATCCCAAAGCTTAGTGAGTATTATCATTATTCTTCTTGAAATCTCATTTATTAAACAGAAAAAGAAATTTATCTTATTAAATTAAATTAAATAATACGAATAAGTTATTGTGACTTCGGTGAAAAAGTTTACAATCTGATTCTCTAGTTAAATAAATGTTTTAATAACGATTCACAGGAAACTAAACAAAATAAAGACCTAAGTGGACTGTTTAGTGTGATGAAATATTCTGGCAGTCAATAAAGCTACATACTGTTGATGACTATAACAACCTGGCCCTGTTTTAAAAACATGCTTCAATCTGTCGGCTCATAAGTGTGAAATGTCTTCGTTTTAGATTATGACTACATCGCTACTTATCTATTCTTAGTAACCAGTAGATTTACTAATCAAGGAATGTAGTGCTGTTGTTAGAGTATTATCATCACAAAATAGCAAAGAAATTATATTTTATGATGAGCATATTTATCATTACATCATCCGACATTATATTTCTTCTCAGAAATTAACAATCTACGTATTTGTTTATGAAAATAAGAATAGTTTTTGATTTACATTCCATATCTCACTTTCTATAATTGCGAACTTCTACTTAAATATCACTTGGTTCTAAATAAAAATCTGGGTCATAGATAAATCTTTTTAAATAGCTTAACGAATATTGATTTATTAATCTTCTTAATTCGTCTATAAAAATGTACTTTGAAATATGATATATGTTATTTTGACTCAGTGATAAGTGCTGTAATTGATCGTTTCTCATTATATATTAATATTATAACTAAGGTAATATTTAGCTAGAGATCACACGTTACTACTTTTCTGATGAGAGAGCTCGGTCAACTTTGCCCAAGTACACTGAGTAGTGAAAATTATTCGGTAGTTTAAATATCTTAGGTACAGAACTCTACACATACATAGAAGTTCTTTAAATGTTTCATAACATAAAGTTGATATATATGTGGTAAACTGAGTTTATAATAAGGCCATTAGTTATCACATTTACAATTAAATAATGTAAAACAACTTCGGTTACTAAAGTTAATTATTATGAGCGAAGCTTATCAGAAGCCTGTATGGCATTCAGATTTAAACCCGCTGAGATACAACACTTAATATCAATTCTCACCTTCTAAAAGAAAAAAAAATTATACCTTGTATAGTGCGCTGTCAATTTCTCATGCTGTCAACAAGTGTTTCTAAATTATCTAAAGCTAAATATACGACCACCAGATTTTGCAGAAAAAAGCATGCGAACGATTAACAAGTCTTATGGGATCTTTATTTTGAAAAGAAGTAGAACAAAAGATTCAATACTGCTGTCTAGAGATACCTAACGAAGCTGCCTTTCGAAACAGTATGAGTTAAAGAACCATGACATAAATCAATAATGTCACTTACTACATTCACTACAACATGCTACTCATTTCAATGTTTAAAAAATTCCAGTGTTTATCATGTGCTTAAAAATGTGATCACAAATGTTTAAATAGGATGGAGCTAGCAGGATCTTTCACCGTTTAGCCAATATCTGCCATGTTTAGGAAAATACCTACGGTGAAATCACCAATAACCTTACAATTTGATTTAGAAAACGAAAGTTAAGCGAACTTTTTAAAATCAATTTTCAAAGTGATTGATCCCATTCCTCCGAATAAATAACTTAAATTTTTACTTTAAAATCAATTAGAAATAAAAGATGATGTCTTTATTCATGTATGAATAAATATTCACAGAATTCACCTCATTAATTTTGTCATTGATCATAGATTGGTGGTTAAGTTGATCAACAAAAATATTTTAATGGACTGAGTCATCATAATCGTCTCAATTTTACTGCTCTTTATTTCGACTAAGGCCATCTAGTCAGAAATGGAATTCATTTATAATACTTTCCTGACTACATTTATGTTGTCAAATAAAAATCGAATATCACTAAGAGTATCCACATACGATGATTGCGTCAAGTAAAGCTCATCATGGTGGGGATTGTAAAGATGCAGATAAGCTTTCGCAACGTGTTGGTCTGATTTATGTCTCAGATATCTATAGAGATTCAGGTATATCTGTTTGTTAAATTCATGTGCCCGATAAGTTTCATTTTGAAAGATAACAAACAGCATGAATCTGAAGGAACACTTATTAGATGATACAACTACAAACAGAAAGATCATGTCTTACTGTTTATTTAGGAATCAAAATACATTAGCCTGAAATATAGATAAATCACTAGTTGCTTGCCACTGTAGAAAATTTAACTATTTAACAGATAAAATTTGTATAGACGGACTTGAACTAACCCTAATACTTTGTTATATAAATCTTTGTTAAGTGAAGTCTTTTCACATTTAATCTTTAATTTTAACGCGATTTGTTTCTAAAAATCATGAGTTATTAATTTAGCCACACTGACCCTTATTCCAAGAAAGTAACCAATTAAAAATGAATTAAATTTTCTAAACTACTGATAATTACCAAATAAAAAAGTATCTATTAAAAGCAATTCATTCGGAGGTGAGCTTCTTTGATTCACTCAAATGGCTTTTGAAAGTAAGTCAGTCAAATCATTTTTTTATAGGAAGAGTATGTGAACTGATAACTGATGAAATAGTACAACAAAAAATTGCTATCCGTAAAATACGTAATTATTTGGATTTAAACGTATTTCATGGCGTCTTGCTCGATCTAATAGATGATATCCAGGATTGAACAGTTCTTGTATGAAAATGGCGAGGTTGACGTCTAACACATAAATCGAATTTCTCGTAGACTCTAAATCCCTAAAAGCAATTATCACCGAGTCTCTCTATGAATATCGAGAAATTCCCTAAAACTGGATAAAAATTTTACCTAATTTTATCATTTCAAGTCACGGGACTGGCCATGATATCAAAAAATTTGCAACTGCTTCGAGAATTATAAGCAGTAAAGTTTAATTGAATCGTTTAAAAAACTAGTCAAAACGGCCTGTAGAACGATCATTGAACAACACACATTCTGATATGGATTAGAACATTCACGCTTCAAAAACTATCATTTCAAACGTTGATCCAATGAGAATCAAATGCATATTCATATATGAACATAATTAATATATGACCCATGAACGTTATTTCTCAGAATTAGATAACGCTGAATTATCTATGAAGAAAAAGCTTGGCCGAATTATTCATATCTAAGTTTTAATATGATAAGTTCTGGTTTATCACATAATTTACTGAGATACTACTATCAAATATACAGATCTCGGCAAAATCAAATTTCTTCAACTTTTTTCACTGAGAGATAAAAACTTCTAAAGAATGATTTCGATTCAAAAAATTGAAAATATACTTCAACCTTTATAAACGAAAAAAACCAGCATCAAGATTAAAAATAAGGGATTAGATTATACTTTCTCTTGCGAAATGTGAAATGTTATCTGTTAAACCAGAAAAATATGTCAAATTTATAAAATTCTTGGCTCTAGTTATTTATTGAATGAACTTTTCAGTCAAATTTTTACAACAGTCAATATATTCAACACTGAAACAAATCTATTGAAATTTAAGTAGCGAAGAAACGAAACCTAATTTTTTAGGGTCACTATAAAAATCTGTACAAGAGAAATAGTAAATTGGATTTTGCTTCTCCAATGAGTTATGAGATTTTAAAACTTGAGCAAATAAATAATAAACAAAAACTAGATCAAAGTTATCTTGAACTGAATGGTAGAATAATCTACAGTTTGACCACGATAAATTGTTTTTTATTATCCCGTAAATCAATAGAAGTATATTGCAGTAAAACGCATTTGAAATTAAACGTAAACTTTCCCCTCAAATCGTTGTATGGAATAATTACAGGTTGACTAACATAATATCAGTAAATCTATCTAAACGTAAAATTGAACACAGGCGTTCAACCATTACACTTATATAACATGTATTTCAATTTGTCATCGATTAAGAAGGACTTCTAATACACTGTAAATGCAACAACACCAGTTTCTTTTGCAATTTATTGATTATAATGTGTCAACAGTATAATTGTAAACTGAAGACGTTTTTAATTATGATACTGATTTCTGATCTAATAGGATGGAAATAAGTGTCTCCAGAAAAAGAACCACTACTGATAACATTTACTTATCCATAGAATGTAAGGTTTTGCATGTTCTTGAGTGACCCGTAATAAACGCGGCCTATTTTTAAATGGCATCTTTCTTCACGAGCTATATTTTTTGAAATGAAAGAATACAGCTAAACTGTAGGGTATGGGTATGTTGCGTTTACATTGATTAAAATACTATCCAGTAGATAAGTGTTACGCATGCGTATAGCCTTGGATCAAGTTATGTTAAGTAAAAAAAGTTACCTTTGTGTTACCCAATTAGCTTTAATCAGGAAGTGAGGATTTCTTGCATGATTCACTTAATCGTTCTCAAAAGTGGTAAATTAGCTACTTTATTTTTATATAGAATGTATCAAAAGTCAAACTAAGAAACCGTATGTTGTTGTAAATGAAGTATTGCTTTTCTGAAGTTGGTATACCAGACCACATAAATTAACCACCTGTCTAAATATCAAAGAAAAACATTTTGCGTTGATTCTTAATGTTACTTTGATGTGTTTATGATTGGAAAACGAAAGGATCATTGGCAACATGACGCGTGAGGTTTTGTAGCGTATAGCGAGAATGTGTATTTATATTTGAATGGAATACCTTTAGAGTATCCTTAGAAGAACGCTACACCTTTTCTGTAATCCATTGGTAACCACCTATAAATTTTATAAAACTGTCTGGCCGATTCTATTTTCGGGGGATGTATTATCACAAATAATAATTGTTTATAATTGCCTTACTAAAACTTACAGGTAAGTAAACTGTTGGTTCTCTGTTCTTATATTTTTAGTTGATCAGGGAACGTTTTTTAAAATAAATTAATTCGTAATTGAATATACATCGTCCAAAATCTTTTAATGAGTATTTATCTTACTTCATACTCCTAACTAGCGGTTATAACATGATTGTCCTTACAAAAACTCACTTTCAAATAGACCAAGTTAAATGGCAAAAAATAAGCAGAATAATAACCTGAACCTTAGTCTCAAAAGATTGAATGGAATTAGAGATGATTGTGAGCAAAAGTACTGCATAAAAAGAATGCTTGAAATAATTGACTTTCTTTGATTACTAATACTTTTTTAATACTGCACGTAGTGGCATATGTATTTAAATGACTATCTGTAATTTTTTATAATTTTATAATTTGAAATCATAGACAACATTTATTTTACTGATTTAACCAAAATCATTTCCTATGATATATTGATATATTTAATTGTGTTCTTAAGATAGACAATAGATAATTAATTCTGTTAGAAATTATTAGTTTTCATTTATTTAATATGTGCATATGGACTACAGGTTGACTATTGATGGAGAGTAGAGTTTAGCATAAGTATTATAACGTCACGAATAATGTTTGGAGAAGTTTGCATCTTGAATGAGTATTGAACCAGTCTATAATGATTGAAATAAATAATTTTGCATCCCTGATGGACAATTAGTTTTAAAAGTGTATTAGTTATCGTGTGGAGAAATAATAGCCCATAAAAATAAGAAAAATAATCATAAAAAGGATAGTTCGTTTATAGAAAAGTCATGTCTTTGTTGTAACGGAATTAATGGGAACGACAGGAATCATATAAAAACGTTTTGCTACAAAAAGAGGGCCGTGAAGGGCTTATATCGAAATATGTTTAATATTAACTTCATCTGTTTTACAGGATATTATTTGAAACTTTATCTGAGAAGCTGAAAACAGTTTTAATATTGCCTAAAATTTGAGTTCCAATATTTATCTCTAATATAGAGGAATACATAAAATTTGAATAAAATTTCATATGAGACCGTATATACAAAGTTACTTCACCTAGTTCCATATCCGTTGTTTGCACAATGATTATGATAATGGTCGATGATAACATGTCACAGATTACAAAAGTTTGTTTCCTACTAACCAATTGGTGTCTTGTTGATAACAATTTTCACTGTTGAATCATCAGATTACACGTTTGAGACCTGCTCCATCCATTTTGTATGTGTCAGCGGCGTAGTATCACTTTACTTCACACGGTTGATTTAAATCAGACTTCGAGTACACAAATATCTACCTAGTGAATGAATTAGAATAACGTTATTATCGAAATTCCATTCTGATACAGATCTATTTAGTAGTTACCTCACGTGTATCACTTAACCGTTCCAATCTTTGATTGAACAAAAGACAATTGTAGGAAGGGCCGATCTTGAGTTTCATTCTTATATATTAGTGGATCCAAAGAACGAATAATCATTAACCCAATAGAACAGTTCTCGAGTTATGATGGCTTTTTCTTCATTTTGTACGTTTTTCATAATTATTATTAATTTATTCGTTTATTTAAAATATTAACTACTCGATACAACTATGAACGTACTATAATAAGCATCGTAAGCAGGTCTGTTGTACTATTCATCAATTAACCTACACAAAGATTTTCTATGAATAACTATTATATTCATTATTGACCATTTTACGACGATAGATATGTGATATGATATTCAGTTAATAAAATAAAATTATAAGACCAAAGACAAGAAATTTGTGTTCATCCTAAAAAAGTGCAGTTATTTTTCAAAAGCCATTTTAACTTAATTATTTGTTTTTTTGACTTTAGCCACTTTACTGATATCGAACTTCTTGACCGGGTACCTAGAACCCTTTTAATTTTGGGAGGTATATTATTAGGGATTCAGATAATCGGCTTCATTCTTCTACGCCCAAGACCTTCTTCAAAACAGGTAAGTGGCAGTTTCAATTGTAATTTAAATGATATTGTGGTTAGCTTTTAAAAATGCGTTGGAAATAATTATTGTCAGAAAATGTACATAACAATGAAAAGAATGAAATTATTGTTCGCTAAGACGTTAGAATTTATTGTTTATTTTCCACAAAATACTAACTGAAAATCACAATTTCACTTGCGTTGCGCGTTTTCAGCATCCTATGTAAAAATTATTCATGAAGTATTGTAGATGACCTAGAAATGTCACCGGAAATATTATTTTAAAATCTTATAAAAAATACACTTTTCCTTGAGTTTATATTTGTGTAACCATTCAGTTGTAACAAATTTATTTAAATAATTTTTGAGGTCAGTATGATTTTCATTTCATTAATCTTTTCAGACGAATTAACATGAATAAATCGACTCTTAACATTTAATAAAGGTGATCGAGTGTGAATCTAGGCAGTATCACTTTTTAATCGAAATAAGTAAACATCATGAAATAATCATGAGCATTAAAAATAATTACATTTCGTTGAGTGGAAAACAAAACAAAATATTTTATACTGGCATTTCACTATTTATGCTAATAACTGCATCAAAGTTACAGTAGATCAGAATTTATCAAAATCCTAGCTTATATATGGTAACCTGATCTTTGTATATAGTAATTCTCCATTGTCGAGTGAATCAAGTAATAAAGGTACCAGAAAAACGTAGATTGTTACCATATATAAGCTGAGATTTTTTATAAATTTCGGTTTACTGTAACTTGGATGAAGTTATTACCATTAAATAGTGAAACGTTAGAACAGCTTCGTTTAGTCTTTCGCTTATTAGTAAATACAAATTTCTAATAATAGTTCATATAATGAATCCAACAGCCAAACTTTTTCCAAACATGCATACATGAAATGAATCTATAAGTGTTTAGAGCCAAAATCGAGACTTAATGCAACCTAGTGAAATGGAAAATATTGAAGACTTTGGATATGAAATTAGCAATAATGGTTTAAAAATTGTTTAAAAATTCTCGACCAACAAATAACTGTTTAGTTCCATATTTTGAACGGTGAAGTCAAACTATTCTCTCAAACAGTTTATTATTTACTTGGTGTACTCACCTAGATTTCACTAGATGTTGTGACTTAAAGTAGTTTATTATTTAAACCACTTGTAACGTGTAAAAATACCTGTCTGCAGAAATTCTGTTGAAACATTTAATGAATGAAAATGTTATTAGTATAGCTGTAATCTATTAATGCTTGGTCGTGAGATCAAAACTGTTTACTTATTGTGATTTATTGCGGGCAGTCTTGAGATCACGAATGAACGACAATTAGAAATCAAACTGTTCACGCTTTGATTTATCTCGATATTATTTTGAATGAAACTTCAGTTTAACCTTAGTTCTAGCAAAACTAAGTTGGCCACATATAAAATAACATCATTTGTACTCTGATTTTGTGCAGAAAGCTATGATAATTGGTCATTCAACTAGCTTTCAGTGTTCAATATTAGATGCTTTGCACATTGTCATAATTAGTGGTTGATCCACATTGTTTACTGGTACTTCAAATAAAACAAAGGTTGTTCGTTAAGAACTCAGGATTATTCACTTTAATTCCGTTTGATCCTTTTTGCATCCTGTTTATTATTACCTCTTGTTGAACATATCGCTCTGTAAAATCAGCAATTTATGAAACCTGTGTATAGCCTGATGTTTATATCGATGATATTTGTATAACTAGAGTACATCATTTTAATACTAACTTGTAATTATTTTCTTAAGTTAAAAAAATATGACAAAGCATTTATTTTGTGATATCAAAATGAAATATAAAACAAAGATAAAACAAACAATTAATATGTCACGATTTGTCCTATATTTTAATAGCACAAAGTATCCTCATATACAACCATAGATAGTAAGAGTTCATTATATGAACAAAAAAAGTACATATCTTAGTTCATTATCATTTAATAATGAGATTGATAATTTATTCTTTTATCTAAATGTGACTAGATTTTATAAGTATTCTAATGAATAAATTTTCCAGGTTATTTGAATTTGATAAACGTTGCTTAAAAACAATAAATTATTCGGATTGATTTCTATTCAACTTATAGAACATCATCATTAGATGTTTTATAATTTTACTAGAAATAAAAAATCAAATTAGAAATAGATGATATTGTTATGTGATTCAAAGTAATATAATATAATTAGATATGTCTAAACAAATAATTTCAAAATAGGTCTTGGCACCAACTAAGATCAGTTGAAGAAAAATTGTGAACTAGATAGTGTAGGTAAATCATTTTATCCTGGAATGGAGTTCCTCAGGAGAGGGTACTTGTGACACTATACAGGATTGATGGAGTGATTCTGTAGACTCTTTTTTCTAGAAATGTTACAATTCAACGGTTAGGTCAGGTCTTAAGGTGGAAAAGTTCGGTGAATATTTGACATATAGAATGGCACATAATTACAAATTAATTGAGCATTCGGTAGATTGTTACAATCAAAATTGGGGGTTCACATATCACCTAGATCATCAACAAGGTATCCATAACTTATTTAAAATAGGATTACACTCACTTTTTGGACTGCTCCCACATTGTGTACAATAATGCAAAAATATCACGCATGCAAGATCGAATTATTCTTCTATAAAATTGTATTTTGAATAGATAAGACAAGAGAAGTGTACCAATACACTGTTTACATATTGTGGCTTTAGATGTAAAGTTTTGCAATTAAAATGCTAGCTTTGAGCTTATTTTCTTTATAACAAATAAAAAGCGTGTATCTTTGAAATAAAAATTCTGTTTCTGTCATTAAAGAAATCCACGTATATGAGCACATATATTGTGCAAAAGTAAATTTCTACAGATATTTCATTTCTTGAAAGCCTCTGTGTTTTATACTACAGTAAATGAAGACTAGGAAAAAATTTTCAAAATACATGATTGTCCATGCAATTTAACTAAATTTAATTATGTTATCTGTAAGGTGGCTTGATTTTTTCTAGTAGGCTTCCTTGATCACTTTACAATACCATACAAAAAGCGCTGTTATTGTAATACAACGGTTATTCGAATTCGAAGTTATTTATGGCTTATCTACAATACGGATTTCCAAAGCAGATTTATAATGTTTTTACTTGTCATAAAGTTGTATTTGTCTTGTTCCAAATTGGCTACCTGGTGATGAATTACTCCATGCCATACAAAGGAATATGTGTACCATATCATTGAGCTCACCTACTCTTAACACTTCAACTCATCATTTCATAATTACAGGAAAGCTTTACTTCCTCATAACTTAAAAATGTGAAATCAGTAGTTCTGTGTAAATATGGTTGTTCGCTTTTGATCACGTTCGTAAGAATATTTTATTTATTTATGAAGCTATCTTACTACTTTTATTATATTGCACTAGGATTATTGAACTGCATCAAAGTGTATTCATCTATAACATAATATTTAACTTGAAAGACTGTTATCCTAATAATGGTCCACTAAAAACTGCCTACTCATTATTGTTCTTGAGTTTCATTTGAAATCTTTCCGAACTATTGTTAGTTGTTAAAAACGTCGTTAAAATATTGTTGTGTTGCTTTCCGGAATATTTCTAAAACGCTGGAATAATTCACAGACATCAGCCTAGACGTATATTTCAAGTTTAGTATTTTTATTGTTGTGTAGTCAGTACAACTAGGACAAAAATCGCTTTACAAGCTGAGTCTAAATAAAATACTGGGGTTTCCAGAAAACTAATTATTATTGAGTAGGAAGATTTTCTGATATTTAACTTACATTAAGTTCATAGACAAGTTTAAAAATTAATTTTATAAATTCATTTGACTTAATTAAGATATTCATTTGTAAGTAACAGATATATATTTCTTTTATTAGAATTTGCTATAAATTTATAGAATACTGATTTTCTTATAGTTTTAGGATTATTCTTGTTTGTTGTAATAGATATACATAAGTATGAATTACATCGCACCCGGTAAGAATATATACAATGTCGAACAATTACAGGTTTACATAATAGAAAATAGTTATAAGTTCTTTCTTAAAAAAAGAAAGCAGTAGCACGTAAATACTGACGAAAAAACACTCGATAAAACTTGTAAAATACTATAATTCAGCGAACCAAATTATCTACATATTTGAATGAGGACTATGTTTGGGCTTAATCTGAAGCTAGTCGCACCAGTTGCTTTTGTTATTAAGTAAAGAAGGTTATTTAAATCATAAGCCAATCAATGGTAGACCACTATTGAAATCCTGGAAGCACTGGACGGCCGTTTCGTCCTAGCATGAAACTTTTCAGAAATGGGCATTCACAATGCCGCACGCGAGACTCGAACCGATTAACATCGTTCGATGTCGGTTCCGTGGTCTAGTGGTTAAGTGTTCAAGCGAGATCAATAGCCCTACACGATAGGTTTTGATGACCATTACAAGAAGTTGTCGTTATATTTCTTTAATAGTCAAATACCTATCTATTTAGCTAAAATTTTATGAACGATAATGGGTTCCTGACCATTTTAAGCATTTTGAAATGTTCCAGATGACTTAAAAACAACAACATAAGATTTATTAAAGAGTTAACTTTGTCGAACATACCAACATAATATTTCAAACCTATCAATTATATATTATTTTATTATTTATGACTGCGCCGCCAAGTGTAGGCTAATTAGTTTCAAAATGATTAACTGCTTTGCTATAGTATTACTAGTTTCTTTCGATGTCAGAATATTATATAATTAGTGTTGGTTTATAATTGTTCGCCGACGTAACTGTACATATCAAATGACTAATATTCCGTTAGTATTGATAATATCATTTCTATTTCCTTTGTTTAATATGGACAATGTCAAACAAACGTAGTTGCTATATCTTGAGACAGTCAAATGGTGAATTCATTTTATCTTAATTATGAATTGCGTACTTACCAAACAAAGAATGTCTCTGTTAAATAAGCTGTTTTCCGTCAGACCCTGATTAGTTTATTTTATAAATTTTTCCAGTCACTTTTCTCTTAAATCTTTCACAAAAATATCTGTGATTAGGCGCTGGCTTTGTTTGTTAATGGTGTTAAAGTAGGGAGAAAGAAATCTAGAAGTTAATATGTGATACTGGATTCAAAAAAAATTGTTTTTAGTTATTCATTATTCTTGGAAACCTGATGATTTTGTCTGTAGCATACTGCGGTGTCTAATAGTTCGTTTTTACTTTCCAACCGAACAACAGTTATCGTTTTCTGAAAATCGAGTAATTTATGGATATAACCGGCATGTAGAACACAATGTTGCTTCATCAGCATGATGGATTCGCAAAACATTTTTCCGGATTAATTTAAGTTAACAAACTGCACAAGATAATTCAACATCAACTTAGTAACTCCATCATTTTTCACCGTGAACGACTGTGAAGTTAGGCAGTATTGTGTATCATCATCTTCATACGGAAGTCGATTTGGATAGTCAGTAATTCTTCGGAAAACATGTTAGTTTGCTGAGAATGCACTCTGTTCAAAATGTGCTGTCTAAAAATTCGAGTTTGACTGCGTTTTTTGACCTTATATGCTACTTGTTGCAGACAAATTATCTGTCCTTATTCAATAGATTATAGCAATCAATATGTTTCGTAGAAGCATGACTGGGGAACTAAAATCTATGGAGAATCAGAATTTAGTTTTATCAAAAGTAAATGATCCTACCCCTGGTTATCGACGACTGAAATATGTTACTTTCTGCAAACTATTTGCCCCTATGTTCTTTTTTAAACATCTAGATCAATGCATATTTTGATTTTATTGCTTATTTTCATATTCATAGGCAAATATAACCCAGAAGATTCAAGCTTCAAAGTAAGTTTATTTTTTCGTGATATTTTGATATCGGGCAAAATAATTGCTTTTTTAAACCTACAATTTTGTTGTCCTAGTTTCTAATGATTCGTAAATCAATGTTCAATAAGTAATCTCATTACAGAAAGGTAAAAAATTTGTAAAACGCAATATAAAATGTCTTTAACATCAAGTATGAAATATAGTATATATAATCAATGTCTATTAATTTACAACAATCAACTATTGTTTACGTAAATGAAATAACAGGTCACTAAAAGAGTGTTAAGGTGGCAAACATGTAATAGCTGTTCTTATTTCCATTGAACCTTAATAGAAAAGCTTAAAACGTAAGTCCAACAATATATCATGATTCACTTTTGAATTGAAAATTTCCGTTCCATTTATCAGCTAAATATGTACCTATGGTTCAAACTGCATATATAGCTCATTAACTTGTACAACATAGAAAACACAATATATGGATGTTTGGATGAGCGAAAATATATAAGTGAGTTCTAGCGTTATGGGAGATCTGTGGTTTTACTTTCAGCAGTTCCGTTTTATTAGAAAATAATCAACCGTTCTAATTTTTAAAATATTACTGTGTTGTATGTGATATCATCGGTGTGATGATAAAAAAGTTTGTACTTTAGTATTCGTTTTATTCTTTAGTTTATTTCCAATTTTAACTGGATGTGAATAGGCTGTGCGTTTAGTTAATGAGATTAAACAACACTGGATTGCTTCATTCCTATTACTACTAACTGATGCAGTTTGAAGGAAAATGTCAGTAGCATTATAGTTCAATTTTTATAGGTCATCTGGTAGAATTTTGCAAATAAATATCTGGATACTGCTGGATTTTCCAGAAGTTTCAGTGTTTTGTTAATTATTATGATTGCTTACGCCAATAGGTATTGGCATTCATTTAAATACTAATTAGTAACTAACTAGTTTAAGTAATTTCTCTTTACTGAATGAAAATAATATTTAAGCGAGCAAATTCATTTTGTGAGTCTCGTGAATAATGAATGCTTATGTTGATGTAATAATTATGATTACATTAAATGTGGTTATTTTTTATGACCCTAAATTTATAAATCATGAGAAAATAAATCTGATAAGTGGGTCTGATTATTTACTGACTTACTTAAGCCTGGTACCCCCTTCATCTAATTACTGGACAGATAAGTTTGTTTAAAACGATTTTTAAATAAAAATGTCATATATATTTAATAAAAATGAATCTCATAGATCATACGTCATGCTAAATTAGTTTGTTATAAGAATTTCAATTAATTATTTTCACAACTCATTCTTCAAAACCGATGAGTTGCACGGTAAGCTAAAACGATATTCACAACAGCAAATACAATAAGATTTAATGAGCAAATAAATATCACATGATTGTAAAACTTCATAATCGTCATTAATGTACATGTATATATAATGATTTAATTACTATCATTTATATTTATTTAATGATGAATTCAACAGAACATTAATTGTTTGTTTCTCGAAATAAATAATTCAGCATAACATTATCGTTTCGGAAATAGAATCAAGCCAAGCAACAATTGGATAGTATTTAATTACATATACTGTGGCTTTAAAGTTGTTGCATCCTTTACAAAAAGTGCTTAGATCATTAACGATTAATTTTTTACTTTTTTATCCAACATTTTTCTAGTGACGATTTTTCACAACACCTTTGCCCTTTTGTTCTTTTAGATGCTGGTTACATCGAAATCTATCTAATGCGTTGGCATTTTATCTGGGTTCAATTTCTTTAGCGGCATACACTTTGACTTGCCTTCATCATGTCTAGTCTTTTCTACTGTTCCTACGTTGTCACCCGGAGCGTTACTGTTTTCCACTTTCTTTATGTTTTGTTATAGTTTTTCACTGATGCTTGTGGACTCTGACCCAGTTTCACAAGAGATTTTACTTCCAGTTGGATTTGCTTGTTAAGAAGGTCCATCACTCATTAATCTTGTCTTTCAAGAAATCTTAAGCTCCTCCATAGAAGAAAACGTCAAAGGTCTAAAGATGACTGATAATCTTAATTCGAGCTGTGACATGTTGCATGTTACATATTCAGATGATCAAATCTCGACCTCAACTAACGACTCAAGTAACACTCAGAACTCACAAAACGTTCTTAGTCAACTTAGTACGAAAGTTTCCCATAAAAAGACAAAGACTATATATATAAAAAGCAAAACATTAATCCACTAGTTATCATAAGTAATAATAAAATATAGGAAGTAAACTCTTTAGAACATCTGAGATCGACAATTCGAAACAACTTTCGTTCAGACGATGCTATCATTTCCAATATAATAAAAGTTAAACATGCTACAATAAAAAATACGGTCAGTACTGCGAGATAACAGCATAAGTTTGAGTACCAAAATAAGATTGACGTGGTTCACCATAATACTATTATTAAGGCATAGACTAAAGACAATTAACCTAATAAAAAAGGACTGAATGAGATCAACAACCGTCTTACACACCATTCGATCAATAATACTTGGTGTCGAAAGCATACCTCAATAATAATGCTACAAAAGAAAACCCGTTTAACTAACATAGCCAATAGAACCAATAAAAATTTTATATTTGGTGCATCACAACAAATCCTACAATTGCAGGGCTATGAGAGTAGCATAGCCGAGGTTAAACATATCAAAAACTGGCTAAGACTAGCAAAACGTGATATCAATTTGTTTGAAGAAGGACTACCGCAAAATTAAGTGGACAATCCAATCAAGTTTAATTTGACAAACCAAGCAGTTATTAACTCAAAATTATTGTAAAGCGAGATCTAACGTTTATATTCTTCAGTGGAAATCGCAGCAGGATTTTTGATCCCAATAACGAAATGAATCAGTATCGCAGAAACATTCATCCTCTAAACGAAATTGAAGTGATAAACCCAGAGGGATACTGATGCTAACTTAGGGATTGCGCAAGAAAACAATAGGAGTGATGAAAACACATATATTCATGGCACCCCCAACACGACCTAAACTGACCAAAATTTACTACATGGAGGACAACAACAAAAACAGCAGAATCAAGTAAACAAACATAGATGCACCTTCAAAGGGTATAGTGAAATGCTACCTGTAAGATAAATTATAACTAATCACTGGTATGTGGTACATAGGTGGTCAGCAGTTACCGGACAGGAAATAAGATCACGAATAAAAACTGTTATTGCTTCCCTGTGGTTGTGCCGGGTTTACAGAAAAAACAATTAGCTTCACTAACCAGTTTGTCTATAAACGAAGTATGATAATTATTAGTATTTGGATTATAGTACTAATTAAGAATCCCAGAAATAACGCAATTGGATCAAGAAGTACTAGATAAGCACAAACAAATGTACTGTATTTGGAATTCGAAATCAAGCATTCAATAAATACAAAGGAATCATTAGTTCATTCAAACACCACATCCGCCAGTTTAAATTGAGGTCTAAATGTTTGTGATTGATTGTACGCCTTCTTCTTAAGTTCATCCTGTGTCTGTCCGACAGTGTATTGGATAAAGACTGTATTATCTAGAACGCACTCACTAATATTAGAATTAACAACTGAAATCGGAACAGACTCACGTGCTTTCTGGGATTGTGTAATCAGCATGTTGGTTGTGTACTGAAACCGCTGCTACCTAGAATTAGAACCATAGACTTTTAGACTATACTTCCCCGCGAAATAATGTTGAATCTTCATATCCCGAAGCTATGAATGATGTAGCTTCATTTAACATATATTTCTCACATTGGTTAGAGTAAACATCAGAAGTGACTTCGTGATAAGGATAAACAGCAGTTGATATGAAATCATCCGAATTGTAATCAAAATCGAGGTAATTTAGTACTCGTGCATGAACAAGTTTCCCACAAGCAACAAATACATTACGAGTACAAATAATATTGGATTCTTCTGAAATAGTTTCCTCGAATTTATTAAGAATGTTATTGTAGAGTAAAGGATCATTAGAAAATCAGCATCTATCAAAACTACATCAGGTTTCTGATCGTGACTAGGTTCATTCAACATATTTTCCTCAGACTTGCAAGGAATTTCTTCAGAAATAAGTGAATCATTGAGAAAAACCATATTTGGTACAATGACATCAGAAATCTGATAATTTGATTGATTAGAAACTGTCTCGCAAGAATTCTGAGTTTCATTTAGCTCTGGACTGCCACATGACTTTACACTGTCTTTTGAAATCGTTGATAAAGATAAATGATCATTATAAATACTCAACTTAATAGAATCAGAATTACAGGACTTAATATTAGTTGCAGCAAGATGAACAGTAGCATTACAAAGTGACTGAATATGTCCAATATCACCACATTTAAAGCACTTATAATTACGAAACTTACATGAATTAAAAGAGTGGAACCTGCCACTGGACAAACATTGGTCAAACATGTGCCCATTTTCGTGAACTGCATCGCAACTCCTCAGTGAATTGTCTGAGTAACTTTGAGTATGCACTGGAGTTTTTATATCCTCATGAATCATTTTACGAAATCTTCCTTTACCACATTCGAAATTTGTATACTTAACATAGCGTTGCATTAGTTCCTTGAGAGCTGTATAAGGAAGCAAAATGGAATTTTCCGGTAAAGCCACAGTTTTTAATATGTTATATGCTTCTTTTCCGATGAATGTGAGGAAATCTACAATATTGACATTCTCATCATCTTCCTTGGTCATAGCCCAGATTTCGAACCTTTCAAAGTAATCCTCGAAAGCATCAAAATCTGAATGTATGTCCAACCGTTTCATCACAGGCCCCATCGCGACGCCAATGTGATAATTAGGAGTATTTGAATTATAGTACTAATTAAGAATCCCAGAAATAACGCAATTGGATCAAGAAGTACTAGATAAGCACAAACAAATGTACTGTATTTGGAATTCGAAATCAAGCATTCAATAAATACAAAGGAATCATTAGTTCATTCAAACACCACAGGAAGCCAGAAAGAACCAAATTCATACAGCTTCTGTTCTAACTATTATCATTACCTAAAAAATTGTAACTAATATAGGCAGCTAGAAAGTAGTTCTCTCCGTCATTGGATCCCGTTTCATAACTGAAATGAGTAGACATATATGACAAGAAGTAATCAGTATCAAGAGGATGAAATAATCTTAACAAGCGAATCATACGCGTTGTTGATATTTTGTCAATTGTTTAATGACTATCCTATAAGAACTAAATTTGAAAGAAAAGAAGCTTCTAACACATTTTCTACATAAACAGAACACTTACAATAACGCTTTACTCTAATTTATTTTATGAAGACAGTTTTACAATGTCCATGTAAATAAGTAAATTAGAAGACTTGGTGAATATCCATACAATTGCCTTTCATCTCAATATTAAGGTAGCGACTGTCTGTTATTTTCATCACTGAAATGTACTTGTTTAGACTAATATAATAGTTCCTAATAAGTGATGCAACAACTTCAATGTTTACTTTATATGTTATCAAAATTGAAGCATTACATCATTTACAAAATAGTTATTTTCACACTACAATTTCATCACATAATGAGCCATATACACATCACGTCATCAATGAAGTATTTAGACCAAACCAAGCAAATATGTGAAACATTTCTGACAAATAAATATAACTTTATTTCCTGAATGTCATGAGGTCCTATTACTTAATTCGATTTCTGGTTAGAGGCTTAATTTTAGCATATAAAAGTCCACAAAACTCACTCGACAAATGTCTGCTAATTATTAATTTTAATAAGCTTTTTCTCACTAGATACTGCGTACGGTTAGACTATTTGTTCTGTCAAGTAGACTAAAATAAGAACTACAAATCAGAATAAACGTGTGGAAATCTTGATAGGTTTATTACTGAATTTGTCTCTTTGTTTTGATGTAATTATTTGTTAATGAGTTTCAGTTGTTGTCATTAAAATTATAGTCTTAGTTATCAGTCTATTTTCTATCATTTTTAAAAATAGTGACGTGAATCTATCACCAAAACAAATGTTCCGCTGTATTGATTTTTATTTATTGTGGCTCGTAATGTTCTGCAACATTATTCCTATTACAACAATCACGTCAACTTATAAGGTAGCTATTTTTGTTCTTTACACTTTACTCATTTACTTTTAACTTATTCGTCAGAAGGATCTAGTCAATATGTTCAGTGTAATGTATATGCAGTAACGAGACAACTTTTGGTTAATGTTTTACCTGGTTATCAGGTTGACAATTTTCACCTGAGATGAATGTATTCATTTTTCTTATGTACCAGGTGGCAAGTGTTCTATATGGTTTAAGCATTATATAAATCACATTAGAAACTAATATGGGGTCTACTGAAGTAGTATACTGTAAGTATTCTTACACTGCGACTCCGAACGAATAACAAGTTTAGTCTATTGAATGGTAAATTTTGTCGAATCTCATAAAACGAATATCAGAGATTTTTAAAAATGACACATCAAAACAACTATCTTTTGGTGCTGCTATTAAAAAACTGTTAGATCACTAATTTATCAGTTTGTAAAATTGATTGTTATCAACTGGATTACCTGTTTAAATTTACCCTCTAATATTCCGTTTTGAAACACGTGAGCAGTCAACCAAATATCGTTTGTGAATATTTATTTGAATGTTTATTTTTACAAGTCTGATCTTTACACAGTTTTCAACTTGATTCCTGTTCTTTCTCTTTTTTTGTTGAAGCAATTCGGTCAAAAGTACATTTCAGACGACAGATTTTTGTCAGCTATAGTTACTATTTCATCTTTATTCAATTGCGCTGGTCGTGTGATGTGGGGTTCGATTGCTGACCGATTTTCGTTTAAAGTACGCAACATACTTTGATTTTTAGTTGATATTTCTATTTTAAAGTATCCCGAAATCGTGAATAAGTGTCGTTTTAAAGTATAAAGTTATTTTCTTGTGATGCTAGAAGTTTTTATGATGGCTAGAAGTTTTGAGATATTACTTTGTTTGTTGACATGTTATGTTTCAAATTATTATGACCAGTAGGGTACTCAATTGTACATCAACAATTAAAATATGATAACGAACGCTTTATGCTTTCAATTACTAAACTTACGGAACTTATACAAAACTTTCCCTTTCTAAGTTTACTTTGTACAGAAAGTAGATTAGAATATGTAATTGTAGCTGAGCAAAATAAACATAACAGAATGAAGCTTATTGAACTGAACTGAACTAATAGAAGAAATTGACAAGATAGATGATTATATAAAATAACTTTTCTGTCCATTCTTTCAATGAGTTTTCAAGCGTGATAAATCAATCTTATGGGACGATAATTACAATAATATTCCTTTTGAATATATGTTTACCAGCGAAGATTTCTTCTGACCGCTCACCGTCCAGGCAGTTACAGGTTTAGTAGCCATTTTTCCTATTCATCATGATTAACTTTGAGCACAAACGTAAAGTTTCTTAAAAGATGGCGTAATTATACCCTTAACTTGCTGTAAGAGCACTTTTAGCAGCACAATGTGTTTAGTCCTCAAAGACCCTTAAGGTTTTGTGTGTCTCTCATACAAGGTCATTAGACAAAAGCTGAAGCATATCTATTCAGGTCCATCTCATAGTTTTATCAACTATTAAAGTTGTTGAATCTTCTCAAAATGATCATCTAGTTAAAACTTTGAGTTGTTTGATTTCCGATTTAGAAATAAATTAACATTTTATCTTTACACAAGAGGTCCATGTTCAATAAAGCCTCACCGACAGACTAACTTCTAAAGTAAATTTCAAATGATTTGTGCTCTATGTTATCTTGAAACTCTTTTTAGATCTGGTTTCGTATTTTAAAAAAAAACTTGGAGAGTTGCATGATAAAGGTTTAATGTTAACCTGGGTGACGATTTTCTCGATACTACCAGTTGTAGTGTATCGTAATTTATGACTCTCTTCTGTCTTTGTTCACGCATTTTAAGGATACTTCGTATTTAATGATCTAAATCCTGTCTGGGTTTTAGCAAAATGGTCCAGATGAGAAAAGTGTTCACCCGTTTGTTTTCTCTCTTATAGGTGCCATTATGTGTAAAACTTACTATTTGGTCAGTCGTTCTAATAACATTTCCACATTTGTCATTATTTTCGGAAATAGTAATCAAAATATTATTTCCTATTTGGGTATTCGTCTTATTTACATTATTCTGCGGAACATTCGTCCTCATTCCAAATGCAACTGGCACGGTTTTTGGGCCAGTCAATTTAGCTGTGAATTATGGTTTAGTATTTCTAGCATTTGTGAGTTTTTAGTAAACTTTATTTGTTATATTATGAACCACAACGATATATGACGATAATTAACCTTCATTTTTAATTTATTGCCTTCAATATATACTTCAGATTAATTCACTGATTTCCTCATTTCGCTAGTAAGCATTCACTTACCTGTAAGTCCTATATATAAATACGAATACCAGATAATAAAATCGGAACACCATAATATTATCACATCTAACTAAACGGCTACAATATATCCTTCCATCTTTATACATCAATTACTTCTATAAAATAGTAAACTTTACTAGTCACTTTCATGATCACTCTGTTTGCATTCTTCACTTTTTATATTGCTTTTTGTTTCATCGTTGATTTCCATTAACTTTGGATTGATATCAAGATGAAGTTAAATAATTAGTACATAAAATAAATATTGAGTAACAACAGTAATTGGAATGTTTAGTTAATAATTTTAACATTATGTGAACCATTAGTTAGTTTACTTCAGGTCTTCATAAGCATTTCTTCTTCCATATTTGTCCATAGTTTGGTTGAAAGACAAGGTTTGGCCCCATATTTAACTTTCAATACTTTGGAAAACACCGACTGTCTCAACAAAAATGCTTGATAAATTGCTTTCCTATTCTTGTACTTAGTTTACTTAAGAGTCATACGTTAAATCCTTGATGAGAGATTTTTGATTGCCTCTAGGAAACCCACTGAAAGGCGCACATAATGTACATACTTATATTTCTTCAATCTCTCAAATAAAGTAACAAAAAAACAAACTGAAGTATGATCAAGCGCATACGAAGTTGGCGAATGTCGAAGCAGTAAGTATAGAGAGGCTAAGAAACAAACTTTAAATTGAATGAAAATCGAATTCGGCAATCAAAGTTAAGGAAAAACGTTTAACATATCTAACAAAATAGAAGGTTGGGTTCATGAAAGAATTGAAATCGTTCAAGTACATATGGATTAATTACATCTTTCCTTTTCTCGGTTCTAGTCGTTTGGAAGTTTTGCATGCGCAATTTTCACAACATTCTTAACCCCAGATGGTGCTTATGTATTCCAATACACTTCCTGTGGAGCCGTTTGTCTAGTGGGTAAGAAGGTATTTTATATGTATGTACGAAATATTTCTATAGCTTGTACCTAGTACTGTTCAACGCGGATTTTAGGATGACCAATCTTTCGGATGAAACTTATTACAGAAACCAATGAAAGAGCTTCACAATGAGACGCTAAGCCAATACCACAGTTTGTATAAGATTCAGACTTAAGGATTTTGTTTTATTGATTTATGTTCCGACGGTCACTTTCAAGTTTGCAAAATGCAAATTTATTTATTGAGTAGACATAATGCAACCAACTTCTCAGTCATTCTTAGTTTAAAAACCGAATATTTTTATAAATACATTAAAACTGCTCAGTATTAAAACCTTTTGATCCAAGTAAGATGTATAAAAGGTGATTTAAGTGTAAATTATACGGTTGAAACACCAGCCGATTTTTATGTTATTGTTGTGACTTAAAGTTGTTTGCAGATTAGATGCGCAGCGTATTTATCGATCGATTCGGTGACACGTAAAACACGTACGAACGACCTAGTGTTCTGACTGGCCCCGCTTCCCTGTCTAACCCAGCCAGTTGAGTCCAGAACACAAGTCACAGCCTCTGAGATTTGAATCATTGTATTTCGGACATGCTCTATTTATATACTAACTAAACAGACCACATCGTACCATAAAAATAGAAAACAACATTTCTACAATATTTAACGAATGAAATAAATAATGGCCAATAGGAAATGTCCATTTAACGTCCAAGGACATCATTAAACTTAACATGATAATGATTGGCACATTATTCTGCATCCATAACAGTTATCTTTGTGAACACTGATAATGGCACTAAACTTTCAGTTTTGACAACATGTACATGTACTTTTTATTTATAAACGAGTGAATATGAATTTTATGGTTTGAATGGAAGACAATGATGTATAGAGTGTTTAGCTAACTTGTAGAATAGTTGAATCATAAACGCTTATATTCTGAAACTTTACATGTTACGTTTGAAAATCCTTATGAAGAAGAGTTAATTGGTAATAAAATTTTAGAAATTACACGTTTTCGTATATTTACCTTACGGAATATATTTAATTATATAAATAATAAATGTCGTCGTAATCTTCAGGACCATTTTGATAAAAGAAAATTAATCACCAGTTTTTTTGTCCATACGGTATTCATAACTGAATACAATTTTTGAGTAATACGCGAACAGAATAATTATGTTTTGTAATGGGAATTACAAAATAAATAAATTTTCATGAAAAGCTAACAATCGTGATTCTCGCTAGTCCTAAAGCTTATTTGGCAACACGTTTTCAATATCAAAGTCTTTTGTACCTTACTGAATGTATTTTGCATACTTTTTCTCATTTTAACATCTGTACGAACCATCATTGATGGATAAAAAGACGAATAGAGCACATGATTTATTTTCAATTAGATGTTAGTCTTGTCTTTACACTAATATATGAGATTTACAGTAGTAAATTAATCTTAACTGAGTAGTATTGTTACACAATAAATTAGGCTTTATGATATTTATGACATTTCATCAAAGTATTTTTTATTCATGACATATCGTTACGTAGTCTAAAGGATTTCAATTTCGGATGTCCCTATTTCTGCCATATATGCCTAAATATAAATCCAAATGATCAACTTCTAAAGAAGCTTATTCCATCAGTTAGTATAATCGAACAAAAATGAACACAACTTATCAGAACGAATTTTAAACAATTTTCCATTACTTTTTGGATAAATTGTTGAATGTGTTTGAAATTATAGACTGAAGAATTTATGTCAAAATCAAACAATATAACGTTTGTGTACATTAAATATTTTCAATTTAGATACAGTAATATTTTGTTTTTTACGTTTAGCGCTGTTTATCACATTGTGGATCGAGGATAGAAAAACATCAGAGAAATGTCAACTATGTGGATGTTTCGTTCGACGTTGTCTAAAATTACGAGTAAAACAACCGCTAAGTAGTCCACATGAACTACAAGCGCTTAGATCATAATATGAATGGTCGGTTTTATGATATTTAATATCTGCAGCACGAATATATATATATAATCTTTTAAAGTTCCATAAACCATAACTTCGTGCATCATAGAGAAATTAGTGCACAATAGCAACGCTTTTATTATTATTATTACTATTATTATTATTATTATTATTATTATTATTACTATTACTATATTACTGCTGTTACAATTGTCAATGATCTCTCGCTTCATTTGAGAATACGCCTTGTAACCAATATCAATTACGTCTACTCGTATAAAAGCCACTTTAATAATAATAGTCTTTGTTTTTCTTTGATACAACTTTAATTTATTTTTTTGTTGTGATATTCAATTTGATAAAAAAAGAACGTTTGTCATTATTTCGAATGAAGGTTTAAATAAAATAAAATAAAAAAATATTTCACATCATAGATATTAATATAAATGTATTACTTCATACTGAACATCAGTTTTTCACTACAGTCACTATAAATGTTAAAATATATACCAATAACGTAAGACATATTTAACGAGAAACAACTTCCGGAAATATGTAGCCTGTAAATACTTGCCATTGATGTTGACCATGTTATTTTAAGCTTAAACTGCTTGTTGAAGCTGATCAGTTCAACATCATGACAATGTTCCTGCACAGCCTACTTTAGATGCTTTCCTTGATCCAGAAAGTTATCCTAATAGACATGCCCATTTATTTCTGAATCCGTTAAAGTAAATGTTATCTCTCAAATGTTTTTGTTTTCTTGATTATCTTTGAACTGTCTTGTCTGGAAGATACCATTAACAGAATCCTTTAACTTTGTCTGAGATATAGTAATACTTGTTATATATATAGCTACTGTAAGGAAATGATTTAAAGGGCATTTTATCTATTAATTAGCGAAGTGCATTAAGTTTACAGCATAAGATAAGATATAATAAGTCTGACCAACATCAGATGAATGGAACCAATGCACTGAATAAGTACATGAAGTATGTTAGTTTTGTTTAGTCGGATGAAGAAATATGACGTTATAAAATCTAATCATAGTTTAAGATACTGAGGTCTATTTTCGGAGGAAGTGTAGTTTCTGAACTATTTTTGTCGATGATATTTCATTTCGATTCATGATTTACAACATCATAGTGCTGGCACGGTTGCATTATTGAGTAAAACCGTTCTAGATAGATGGGTTATTTATTTGAGTAGAATAATGTACGGTGACAACTCAGAGGTTGGTTATACAGACGAAAGTAGACAATATTCATTGCATGTTCAGGTGTTAAATACAGATCTGATTTTAGTACACTTCAGAAAAGCGTAAACTACGCTATGACAGAAACACACTTGAGGGAAATGTGACGACCACTGTAATTTCCATGTGGAAATTCCCTATCCTTTGTATGTCGATAAATTACCAATGTTGCTTTAGTTATTGACACGATTATATCTGGATAATGTCAAGTCCTAAAGATAATAATAATAGGACTTATCATCATAATCTGCGAGCTGGTGTAGACAAATTACTTAGACCATCTTAATGTGGGTTTAGAGATTACTTGTAAAAAACGGAGCGCCCACAAATATCGGACATGGAAATAGACACCAGGACAGCAATCACAGAACAAGCATTCAATATCTATACTAACAAAAACATCTAGGACTGAGAGTCATTACTAGGAAATAATTATGCAGCAGCTGATGAAGAACTTTAAATAACACATTTACTACATCAAGCTTGCTGATTCTACGATTAGTCTAGGTTTTGAACACTTCATTGCGCTTTGGTGGGAAACACCTAAGCACCTGGTCCATATCTTATTAAGGATGCTGACACACCTGACCATGTTCAGAGAATGTGAAATAAAAGAGAGGAAGACTTATTCAATCTCTTAAACAAAGAAACAGAACTCAAACCGTTTCACTTTTTATCTTACCTTAGAATGCGATGAAATCTTTATTTAGGATTCGGCAACTAAATTGATGTCTTCAGTGTTTTCTTACTTTCTTCCTATGCTCTTTCTAAGATCAGTCACTTTAAAAGCTATAGCATGGAAGTTTAAAAGCCTCAATTTGACAAACTCGGTGTAGAATTCCGTTCTAGCAATCGAGTGGTCAATTAGTGAGAATCTCTACACGGACAAGTGGTATCTGCGACTCTGGAAATAATCTTAAATGTCAGCTTAATTAATGAAAACTGAAGTTAGTCAAATTCTTATGAAGAGTGACCAGATCAGAATAAGCAGATTTATGTGATTAGGAAGTTTTGAAGTCATTCGCTTTTAAGCTCTGTTCCAGAAACCGTATTTTATGAAACCTAGTGATAATAATAATAATAATTACAAACACCTTATGAATACATAACTGTTGGGTTGAGCGTGTTTATAGAGTCTGACGTGAGTTCGTTGATCTTCCAACAATAACCAGAAACATCCAATTTTCCACGGCCATGTTTGAATGTTTAAACGTTCCTAAGGATACAGACTGCGTCTTTACCCTCTTCATAAACAAATATGCAATCCATTGAGGGGGTAGATAAATCTCCAAAATCCCTAGCTCCGTAAGTCTTTGACGTTTGATGCTGACTGCATAGGTCTTAATGGACTCACTAAGCTGAAGGCGCCCGGTTATGCATTCGCAGCAGATCACAAGTGAGTACGCCGTGCTTCACTACTTTTACAATCGCTAGTCAGCTTAGATTGATAGCTTGTCACTTTATCGATAGCCAATCAAATACATCTTCGTGCTTCTTCTCTTCTGATTTCTCTGGGTTGGTACGTTTTGATTATCAATGGTGTTACTGGTTAAGGTTTTGTGGAACTCCGAATATTTGTTTCATCTTTAAAGTAGTCATACTAATGTTAACTTTCTGCGAGGTAAGTCAAGCTGTCTCGATCAACTGCTCTCTACTTTGTTTTTTGAATCAAAACATACATGCATCCATTTTCTCACAAAAACAAGACGTTTGGATAAATTACTGGATCCACGTGAAGTTGCTTTGATGGAACGGTCAAAATGAACGTTGCGAATTTACGTGATTCTCAGAACTTATCCTTCTATAGCACATATTATTTTTCTTTTTCAAAATGTTGACCTTGAGTACTCCCTTCTTTGATTGTTTCACATTCTACTCTTTAGTCTATTAAGGGGCATACACAGGAATAGCGCTGCAACCAGTACCTACAATATGACCAGAAGAACGATTAGAATAGTCAGAGATCGAAATTCGGTGTTTAATAATAACTGCGAGATCTCTTCTCTAGCAACAGGACGGTGTAAAAAGACCTACTAACGGAACTGATAAAATTTTAAGTTTTTCGCTCAATTGTAAACTATCGGATTAATCATTACCAGTGTATCTAGATCGTTTAACACAGCTTCAAACCAACACGGGACTGTGGGGCCTCAAGCTGGGTTCAAACAGGAATGAACTCGCCAGACGGTAAAACCTAGGGATCTGCTAAGAAAGAGGAGCAGTGGGCAAGTTTTGAGAAGGGTATTTGAAAATTATAGCCTCTAGAATGTTGAAATACTTTGTTTTATTTAGTGTCTCAGCTTTGAAGAGTAACTTAATAGAATTAGGGCAGCTGTTGATGAAGAACAATAGGGCAAATGTGGCACAGTCCACTTGTATTGGGGTCAGAACATAGTAAGAAGTAAATTCCCTCATTCAGGCATAACATTTGATTCAGCTCACGTTACAAAGCACATTTTACTAGCATCTCCGAGACCTTCGATTGAGGATTACTCCCAAAATCAAGTTATATACAACAAACTGTGGTCCGTAACAAATGCCGCGTAAATGTCACCAAACACCCAAGAACCAACAAACATGGTGGTTAACAGAGCGCTCGAGCTAGTAGACAATGCTCACAAACACAACATACAATAGTGGCTTTGGCCATCACGTACCACAGACCTTCACACCATTACGGTAAAATACATGTCAAGGCAACCTCGTCAGCTAAACCTCACAATCATTAGATCTCCGCGTCTGAAGGCTCTGAAATTCAGAAATCGAGGGGAACTAACGGAGGTCATCCAGGCGAAGTACGTCTCGAAAATCTGTCTGTTCAGTCACAAATGTCGTCAGGGTGGACCTTGATTGATATGGCGACAGCACAGTAGCCCAGTTAAACACACCCTCGATAGCGATCAGCAACGCATGGTGAAGAACACACACATTCTTTCTGATTAGACACGCTAAACTGCAGTATGCACTCACGAATAGATTACCGTCTCCCTCTTTAACAAACTGCGCCTGATTCATGTCACATTTTTAACCACGATTGCCATTCCTGCATATCAGTTGTTACATCCTACGTCTTTTATTATCATTATTGTTTCCGTTCTTGTACTTTCAATTCCATCCTCTTTCTTGTTACCAATTAAATAAATTAACGACTACACTAATATTCATGGTATTACAACGACTTTGTCCGCAAAACCTTATTATTTTAAAGAAAACAACCCAGTCGAACGAGAAGTCAGAAATGGATGAGTTTGAAGGTATGTTCGTATGCTTATCGTGGTTTTGAGAATCGTTTAGTTGAACATGGGTAGTAGTTGTATGAGTTACATAGCACGGCGTACATACTCATGATTTGATGCGGATGTGCGACCGAGACCGTTCAACTAGGATGTATTCAGTACAACTAATAAGGTCAGCACCACTGTCAAAAACTTGCAAAACTATTTATTTTGTGGGTATATTTACCATCTCTAATTTACTAATCATAAATCAGTCTTCTCCTAGCACTCGAATTACCACCTTACTATTTTCACATGCAACTCATCAATCTGCTGTCTGATAACGTCATAGCTTCTGGTGCCTTGAAGCCCCACTGTCTTGAGAAAAACGCATTCAGTAAAATTACAAGATATACAAATCCAGATAAACCCGCCAAATTGAGTAAAATTAATGCAGTCGAGTGACTGCATCGCGATCGATTGAACATTACTAATTACTTGGAGTCGCAGCCAGAGAATAAGAAATGACCATAAACAAATCAACAGGTTTATGCAAGCTCGTGGCGAAATCATTGGATATTGAATGCGTCTTTTTGTTAAAATTTATCACCAAGAGTCAAAAGTGACTGACACTATTACAAATGTTCTCAGCTAAGGTAATGTTTGCTGGCTGTATTCGTGTTGTGACTGAAATGTACGTTTGGTAGAAATGTTTAAAATTTTTATAGCATACGAGGTGATGGCACCATTGCTGGATGCTTTTCGGTTTTCGGTGGATATTTGATCCACTTCACTTATGGTTATTTGTTTTCTTTGAGTAAGTTAACCTTGGGACTTCATAACCTTTGTTTCATCAGCAAATATGGTACCATACATAATGGGATACCTGATAACTTTCATTAACCCACACCTCTGCGTCCAAACATCCGTTTGGTTTTCTGCAGTTTCTTTTGCTGTTTACGGCATCTTTATGCCACTTGGTGGATTTCTGTCGCGTAAAATTGGTTACCGACCGGTAACAGCTCTCAGTTGTTTGTTTCTCAGGTATTAAACGTTTAAAATAGGTATATGCGTTTGATTAATATTAAAACTATCGAAAACGTACTAAGTCAAACACCTTATATTTGTTGTAACAATGGTTATCAAAACGTTCATATAATAACAAAATTTAATTTTAAAAAATATCTCACAAACCTCCGTCGAACAAATCACTGAAGCCATTTCACAAAGTTGGGCAAATTGATTTTCATTACAAAACTAAAGTAATTTTGACATTAGAAATGTATTTTAAGGAAAAAAGGTGGCCTTGTTTCTTGCTTGCCATAAAATGTATGGCAATATTGATTGATTGCACAAATAAACACTTATTCATTGACTATTTTAACGACATACTTGTCATACGCCATAAACGTTCTTTGAAGCAAATATCAGTTTTGAGTTGTTATGCAATTCTCATCAGTAAAATTAATTATGTTAAGTGTGCCAGTTAGGACTATGGTATTTTCAAAATGCTTCTAAGTAGCAATCGTATTGGATGTAAAATGCGGATTCTCAACTCCGAAATCTCATCATCATGTATTCTAGTATTCACGAATGTATCAGGACTAAGAATGGTAAGCACAGCTAACTAGTTGAGATATATTTTATTGAAGTTAAAGTTGCACCATTGAGTGCATACAATACAATTATTATATTTAAGAACAGCATTAGTTGCAGCACGAATACATGAATTTACGTAGTTTACCGAAACTTTATTGACTGTCTGTCTGACTTTGAATCAGGCATAAACATCATACTATCCAAAAAAGTCTATCGACAATCGAAATTGAAACAGATCTGTCTAGGTCATATAATTATATCTGATCCATTATGATAACTAAAAGTAATATAAACTCCCAGAATTGTTTAATTAAAGACAGACAGGACTAGATGGGCACAAATCAAACCGTTAATCACATGTCAAAAATTCCGAAATCAAAATGATTTATTTAAACGTGTGTATGGTTAAACCATCAGAGCATTAAACAGACTGTTCTACTGAAATATGAAGTATAATATTTGGTATTATATGTGGCAAAGTTCATACAAAAACCACATACTGGCCTAATATTACGGACTTCATCCTACTTAAAACAGTAGGCATTGGGAAATGCGCATGATTTTTGCGAGCAAAATTTACTGTAAGATATGCATTTGCGAAACATATATTCAACTTGTACAGCTGTTTTGTAGTTCTTTAATTAACATTATCTAAACTTTCCTCTGAATAATTCTGTGTCCAAATTTGATTAAGACAGCTAAGCAATGTACTGGAATCCTTCGACGACCTAAAAGCAGTTACACGCAATTTTTATTTGTCCGTTACCACAGTCTTAAGATCCTGAATAAAGCATTTAAGTGTTTCCTTTAGCTAACTTTGAACCTTTGGTACATTAATTCAAATATTGAAGCAATCATACAACTGACTGTGTGGTTTTTCTTTATATTTACATTTAGTGGGTTGTTTCGGCAAATTGAAAACAAAGTTCTTGACTGTCTGTATAGTCTGACTATTTCATCAAATCCTTTCTTTTTATGGAATTTGTAGTTTGTTCATTTAACGTGATTTTATGGTAACTCTTCGAGATTTTTACAAAAACCCTAAACCGGTTTATCTGGAAATAAAATCCTGATGACTGCGTTAATTCAGAACATCAATAGTGTTGAACATATTATGTAAACTAGTATTCCCTAGAACCAACCGGTATATAATGTACTTGTCAAAACTAGAGTTGAACTAAAGGTACAAAAATCAGCAGATTTCCTAAGATTTATTGAAATTAGCATAGTACGATAAAGGACACGCAAATCAATTATTAATTTTTGCAAAAAACATAGTTACTTTAGGTTTAGAATAACATATTGGGAAGCGTGTGTTGGGATTTTCTGTATGCTGGTACCTAACATGTCATAAAAACAAAACCATGTATTATATATGTAAAATGTCAACTATAACTGTTATAATATTGGCTAATTACTTTGATTGGTAGTCTTCATCAACTGAAGCTGAATGTCTATGTTATGGTGTGATTGCTTAACGTACGTAATCGTACCTTAAAGTAACACTAAGTGATGAGTGCCTACCTTACTCCATAATAAATAGTGGTCAAGATATTCCAATCGCATAGAAAAGTTAGAAACCAGATATATTTTTACTTTGTAAATGCTTTATTTAATTATCAAGAGAATAGAACTGTATTGTGTTTAAGTAGCTAATGAATGCTTTGTGTGCCATTTTTTGTTACGAATCGATTGCTTTGAATTATTCATACTGGATCTTGATGGATTTTTGTAGACAATTCTCTGTCTAATGTTCAGTCATCTATGGCAGAGATATATTTAGTTTAAAGAATAGTTTAGCTGGGGTTTACTGTTATCCAACTTAAATTATTTATTTTTATAACATCTTTGTCCCAAAGGTTGTAAAGATTAATGTCCTCAATCAACAAAGCAGTAAAAATATCGAATAAATAGTCACAGATCACTTTGTACTCCCATATGAATATATTAATACCCCTTAAATTCATTGTTTTTTGTATTCTATGCAAACCATGTAACCAACTCGGAGCTTTGCAGCTTTCAGTTTTTCCATTCGTAGGAAAATTTGTTCATCAAATTTTTCTTGGATTTTCGGGTTATGCCATCCAAATCGGGACCAGTCAGTTGATACCAATGAAGTTCACTGCATTATATCTATCAAAAATACACTGTTTTTCTTACATCTACTGTTTTTTTATTTGTTTCCTTAAACGTACTTTGTAAATTTTAACCGAACCAAACTAGCACTCAGAAAGAATAAGTCATAATAAAATTCTATGATACTTCATAGTTTTATCTTAATAAATTAATCCGGAAGGATTTTATCATTGGTGAAATCAGACACCGACAGGTACCATAGTTACCCCTCCTCTTACATTCATTCAAAAATATACTGCCGTAGATTCTGCTTAAAATTACTCAAAATAACGAACCATCTATGAACTATGATCAAAAGTAAGTTTCATTATGTATGCGTTGTGAAAACAGTGATAGATTAAAGATTTTGTTGGTCGCCATTTTGATCTGTTTAATTCTAACTATCGCTTTTTACATTCAAAGGTTTATTAAAACGACTCAAATAAACTGTTACACCAGGTTTGTGATTTTCTATCAAACTGTGTCATAAATACCCGTGAAGTTTTATTAAACTTCTTTTTATCCTCTTAATTCTGTCATATTTCCAATACTTTTTATGTTACTTTCTGTATAGGGTCACGTAAGTTTATCAGAATCTTCATAAGGCTTAAATATGTCAGTTGTAAGCAATTACAGTGCTTGCCTAGACGCAGTTTATTTCGTAATCTCCTTTTACTTCATGAACGTCAATATATACATGTCCTAGATTAAATGTACTAATCACGCCGAGTAAACCCGGTCTTAATTTCATAAACATTTTAAACTTATATTTCGGTATCCTTTTATTAAAAATACTCAGTATGGAGATATACTAACGTACAGTAATTAAATATGAATATTACCAACACAGGAACTCTAAAAATTGTTAACCGCCTTAATATTAGTATAAGAAATATCATTTTTTGGTTGTAGAAAGTAATCCGTAAACAAGAAATTCAAAGGGGCTTTTACTGTTATACAACAAGAAATATATTAATAAGCATAACTAGTATGAGGTGTGTCAATGGCTTTGATAGCTGATCATGTACTTGAGGATATTAGCCCCATATGATTACCATTAATTTATTTAACAAAAAGTGAAATAGATATCGCCAAAATATGCTTAAGAATCAATAGTATTTGTGTGAAGATGTAGTAAGTTTGTTTATGGTTTTATTCAGGATAATTACAGTTTACTTATTTGTACGCAATTATAAGTCAAATCGTTAACATACAGAACTTGAATTAATCTTGCTAATTAAAGATTTGAAAACCTCACGCCTTTTCAGATGGGCCATATACCGATATATTACATTGTGAAATTACTTCACGATGGACAAAAGTCGTCCAACCCTTCAAAAACAATTGTTATATGAACAATCATTTATTCAAAAGTATTCACCGACGGTATCCATTAGCTAAAATGGCTGGTCTTTGTAGGGTTACCCAGAACGTTTTTAACCATTAAAAGTCAGTCAAATAGATTAGACCTTTCTATCCCATAGAAAAAGCCATACGTTATATAAAACCTGAAGTTATCAGGAGCGTTACTTAGTAACCATCTACTCTAGTACATGGGAGCATCTGTTCCAAAAACTTAGAATGCTATTTGAAAACATTAAAATGCAAAAAAGGCGGATTTTATAGTTATTCGTGTTAGACCAATGTAGTCTATTGCTACTATTGCATGAGCCAATAACTTTCGAAGTTAAACCTTTGTGGCGTGAAAGGTAAGAGTAGATTTCTAAGATTGAGAAACGGGTTTTTTTTCAAAAACTCAATGGTTGGACTGTTACTATTCCTATTTCATAGGAAAAAGTTACCGTACAGTAGCGAAATTTCATCAATCCATGTATCGTATCTTTTTTAGTCGGATATCAAAGGAAAAATGTTTTGAAACTCTTCATGTCTTTAAAATCTCAATTTTGCGAGTATTGATATTCTCAGCTTTTAGGATGTAGCAAAGTGATCAAAATTATGGTGAGGAAAAAAATTAGGTATTAAGGAGCCTAAAACCTGAGATAGAATGTTCATAGTTTTTATTCCAACGAATTGGTCTTGAGACTTCATTAGCTAAATATCTTCGTGGCAAATCTAATGCAAACAAATTACGAGACTGATAGTTAATGACACAACGTTAGGCATTAGGCATGTTGATGGCAAAATACGGATACCCGATTGCGATGATATATTTATCGCAAGAATAGTGGGCTGAGCTATGCTTGAAACTCAATAGCTTCTGCTCAGAACACTATTCAACCTTATACATAGATCATGTTCAGAGGATAAGACCGAGGAAAAATTAATCGTAACTAAAGGTAATTTATGAAATAACCGTAACCTGCCTAAAATTCAATGCTAAATATGGAAAGATTAGGATCAAAGATATGGAACATGTTACTGTCTTTCTATGAGTGATGAAATAGCTAAAAGATTAAATGCTGTTCTAAAAAGAATGTGCTCAGTCTCCAAATTGATGTCACTTAATCAAACAAATTCCTGATTGCGACATATTTCACCATTTTACCTTTAACTGTATCTAGAAGTCTACATACGTTCAAAGTAGATTAAAAAGGATTAGCGCCCACGTCTATGGACACATTACACGATATCTAAGATGAGAAAATAGGATTCTTTGGACATTTGACATGATTCTGATGTTTCAAATTTCTTAAAGATAATTAACTATGACATACACCTTCGACTTCCATACTCTTTTCAGTTTTCTCATATAATTAATCTGTGAATTGTTAACCGTTAGAATAACATCTTATTTCTTCTGCAGTTATTGTCCTTTAATAATCCACATCTATATGTCAAATTGAACTTAATCAGAAATTTTCTGACAGTAACACGTGTATTCTAGTTTGGTTTTAATGATTAATATTACTGCTTCTAGGTTGTATGTAGCTGAAGAGTATTGACGAAGCAAGTAAACTCATATTTTTCTTATACTATCGTTGTTTTTATTAAAATAAATACTTGAAGTAAGCCTTGGCTATACGGAAACTGAAACCCCCTTTATGTGTTCAAAAACAATTTGTTTCTACCCTTAACCTATACTGGTAATACTGATTCCTTATCTAGAATGGTTATCGCATTGTTTTTGTATGCTTTCTTTTTCTTTGTTACGGTTTACCTTTAATGTATCTAGTTGACCATTTAGTTTTCATATAAAAATGTCTTAACAAGTATATATGTGATCAGATTGTTCGAGATGCTTTGCGCAAATATATCACATAATTCTGATAACCTTCATCTTCTCATTGCATTATCGAAATGCCTGAAGCACAAAGATTTCTCCCTTTTCTCTCGTCTTACAAAACTGATAGATTTGACAGTAACTTTCCTCAGTTATTTATCCATGTTTATATTTTTACAAATGTTTTAACCATGGCGGATTGAAAGCTTGACTTACCGTCTATCTCATACAAAATAGTGATCTAATGTTTGAGGAATTTAATATTTTTTCTGTTTCAGTGGTGGTGTCCTATTATCTTACTTTACGATACAAAAGATGTACGTTGGAGTTATTTTGACCTATTCTTTCCTGTTTGGTACAGGTGTTGGATTAGGATTTTCAGTAACTTTGGCCGTTGCTGCAACAGTAAAATATTTAAAGCTTTTATATTTAAACAGTTTTGAAACTATGATTATTATAAACTTATTTAAAAGGATTTATATTATGTTTATTATTTTTAGTGCAATACTATAGTCAGTTTGTATTTATGAAGATAAATAGTAATTTGTAAAGGAGTTAAAACTAGCTTCAAAATATCTAAGAGTTATTAAATGCAATGTATCATCGCGTGTTTAAAATAGTTCCATACAAATAACGCCTTCCCTCTACAAATGGTTATACATCTCAATGTAAACGTTTAAACCGAAATGTGCTGTATTATCTATTATATAGTTCAGATCACTAAATTGCATGTAGCTGCGTTCCAAATTTTTGTTTTCGTCAGAACCATATCATGCAACAAAAGAAGGCATATCTCGTAACTTTTACAGAAATGACCAAAATGTTTAAAAAATCAGCTTAAAAAATTTTTTAAGAAAAGTTTAGTGTTACCGGTATGCAAAGAAAAATCAAACCGTGTTAATGATGTAATTTGATTTTATTCTTCTGCTTAACGCATGATATACTATTTGTGTATGTTATTTTGTACAGTGAAAAGTACCGGTGTTTTATTATTGAATATGAACTATTACTTATATCTATAGTATAACGAATGAAATTATTTAATCCCTAGATTTAATTAATCTTAAACTGAATAATTTACTAGTAATATTTTTACATATAACAATGAAAAGTACCTCCATAGGAACGATAGGAACCTATCCTTATACCCAAATGTGATAATGTCCCTCCAAAAAAAACAGTGAAGACGTTCATCTATTTGGATGGCAATATAAGCTCTGGTGATGATGTAGCAGTTAAAATAAAAATTCTTTTAGTGAAAACCAAGGTAAATCATCCGCATTCAGTGTAACAATGATGAAATTCTGATTGTAAAATTTGAAGAAAAAAAGGCGTTTGATCTCACGAGGTTAGTTGTCTCCTTGTCTAATGATTGCTTTCTCAAACATTTTATTTGGATCCAGTGTGTGTAGAAAGTACTAATATCAGATAGTGTTCATGGATGGTTGAAACAATTGTTCAATAGTATTTATTTCCTCGAAATGTCGACTTTTTATTCTAATGATTTATTATGAATATGGGCTCCATTAAGTGGTAAAAATAGAGGAGGGGTTAATTTAGGATTTGTTGCCAAAAAACGATGTATAATTGTGTTTCATTTGGATCAATTATTTAGAAGCTCTTAGAGGTTATCTTGTACTTTCCTGTTGAACTGTATCACTTTAAGTTTCTGTTTCACTGAACATTTTCTAAATGAACGGAATGTGTTATAATGTTTGCATTCTCATTTTGATTGTATTCCTTAATGCATACTGTTCTTGCTTCTAATTGATTAGTCCCAAAAATGGGTTTTACTTAGCTGTATCCATCTTTACTAATTTCCATGCATTGGAAAAGTGATTGTCTATTAATAACATACATATGTGTTCTAATTAAAATAATAACTCCTTTCTTGTTCCTTTTGAACACTTCAATCAGTGCTTTTTTTCAGATAACCAAATACATTTTTTATGTATAAATAATCTTATAAGATTAAAATAAGCCTTAGTTTCGTGTTGTATAATAATGATTCCGCTTTTTTCTCTCTCTAGTGGTTTCCTGAACATAGAGGCCTTGTGGTTGGACTAGTGGTTAGTGGATATGGTATGGGATCATTGGTGTTCAGTCCTATCCAAACATTTTTGATAAACCCAAACAATGTCCCAGTTAACAATGTGACAAGGTAATAAAACGATTAAAGTATTGGCATTTCTCAGTTGTAATGAATAGATGCACAAATAATGTCTTATTCTGGCGACAAGTAATCACAGTACGTTCAGCCTACGCAGGATAGGGCGCGATTAGAAAAAAAGAAAATTCGATGGTATAAAAAATGGAATACTTAGAGATAAGTGAGACGAAAAAGCATAAGGAACAACTTGGTTTATGACCTGACTAGATATTATATCCTTTCAAAGACAGTCAAAATATTAACCTCATTCGTCCTTAGAAAGGAATCACAAATAAATTCTCAGATATTAAGGGACATGGGGAAGTACTTGAAGTAGTAATTCCTCTGATAAATGCTTTTATTTACATCATTTCAATTCGAAGGTTAAAAATGTTTAGCCTCTACACTGCCTAAAAATTTTATTCAAAAATGTCACAAATCTATGTTCTTTTAACACAGTTTTATGTATACCACTAACTGGTTTAAAATTAAAGATAAGAATTTTTCTAGATTTTGAACAATATTATTTGTTATAACATGGAAATGAAATACTACTTAATAATGATTAATTTGTGATAAAGTATATTTTTACTATCTTCGTAATTTTTCATTTCTAATTATCTCTATTCTTTAGACAATTTGATGATCCTGAAGTACTTAACAGACTACCACATGTATTTCTTGTTATTGGGGTTATTCTATCAGTTACTCAGATCATTGGTCTGACTTTGCTGCGTTCAAAGCCGAAATCGAATGCTGTAAGATTTTAATTTAAATAAATTATTGTTTGGTAACATTCTCAAACGATTCAGTTTGGCATAAAAAAAGGTTTCTTTATTGAAAGTAGTATAAGGTTAAGAACATTTTTTATACTGGTAAAAATTTACAAGTGATTGTACGGTAACAATAAATCTAGTCATCATCTGAAACTCCTAATAAACTATTGATCCTTTAATGAATAACGTTTTATCAAATGCTGAAATTTCGATGTCAAAAACCACAAATTCTACCCCTATATTTTTTGGAAGTACATTCAATTAGCATAGGGAATAGTTACCCAAATAAAATGGGATTGGTGAAGCGCACATTAAAAAATCAATGTTTTCTTAAATAGAGTGGCATAATATGGCTAAATATAACCAAGCATTCTTTATTATTGCCACTGTTTTCTTTCACAAATAATTTAAATGCATGAATATAGAATAAGAGAAGGATAAACCATTTTAGATAGAATGAAGTATAAAGTCATTGACAAGTCTAAGTTGATATTATAATCAAATAGGGAAAGCTCACATGTGATAAAAAAATACATTATGTTCGTAAAGAGGAGAATTATTGAAATGAATGATTTTGACACTTAAAATTATAGTGATTTTTATTTCTGACACTTCAGCTAATCAATGTTGATTGTTACACACTGTTTAACTAGAACAGGTGACAACATCCAATCAATGTCATCTTGATTTTAACTGAAAAGCGACAAAGATCAATTTTAATGATCTTGCAAACATATTTATAATTGTACTAGTTATTATAAATATAAGTAATTGTATATAACGTTACTTAATTACTAACACCTTTTACTTCTCGTGGAGGACCATAGGCCGCTCACCAGCAATCTCCATCCAACTCTGTCCAGAGCAATCTTTTCCAGTTGTTTCCAGTTGCTATTCATCCTTTCCACATCTGCTTCCAATTCTTGACACAGTGTGTTCTTTGGCCTTCCACTTTTCCGTTTGCCTTCAGGTTTCCATGTAAGCGCTTGCCTTGTCGTGCAGTTTGATTATTTCCTCAATGTGTGTCCTATCGACTTACAACGTCTTTTCCTAACTTCTTCAGCTGGAGGTTTGTTTGTTCTCTCCCACAGTAGACTGTTTTTGATGGTATCCAGCCAACAGACATTCAATATCTTACGTAGACAACTGTTTATAAATACTTGTATCTTTTTTATTATGGTTGTGCTAGTTCTCCAAGTTTCACCACCGTACAGTGGAAGTTTTGACGTTCGTATTAAAGATTCTGAACTTGATGTTGACCGACAAATGTTTTGAGTCTCATGTGTTCTTCAACTGTAGAAATGCTGTCCTTGCTTTGCTAATCCTCGCCTTTACGTCTGCATCAGATCCTCCACGTTCGTCGATGATGCTTCCCAGGTACGTGAACTCTTCCACATCTTCCAGAGTTTCTCTGTCGAGCGTATTTGATTTCGTGTTCTCCGTGTTGTATTTGTGGATTTTTACGGAATCCAGCCTGTTGATCTCAAAGCTGTACATCTACTGAATTTTTTATCCGGTTCAGCAACACTGTTGGAAACGTTTCCTGGTACCGATAGTAGTGTGGTGCCTCTTTATTTCTCACATTTGCTCAGATCTTTCTTTGGTAACCTGATAAGATATCCTTCTTCCCAATCTGCCAACACTTGTTCTTCTTCTCAAATCTTCCTGAATAGAACGTGGAGTATGTTTGCAGTTGCTTCTATGTCAGACTTCATAATTCAGGTGGTATATTATCAGGTTCTGATGCTTTCCCACTCTTGATCTGTCTGATGGCCATTCTGATTTCTTCGATCATTGGTGGAGTGACATCTACGGAAAGGTCTATAGGTGCTGCTTTGATATCCGATGGATTCAATGAAGCTGGTCTATTAGAGAGTTCCTCAAATTGTTCTACCCATTTGTACCTCTGTCATTGAATTTCAGTTATTAGCGTGCCGTGTTTGTCTTTGACTATTCTCTCTGATTTACAATACTTCCTTACCAGTTTCTTCATCACTTCACATAGTCGTTTTATATTTGTCCTCTTACAGCTTTTCCCACTGTCGTTGCCAGCTCTTCCCCATATTTCTGCCTTTCGGCCCCAATGCTCTTCTTCACCTGCTTGTTTGCTTCAGTATATTCAACCTGTGCCCTGACTTTCTCTGTTCTTATTCGGCAGTTGTTAAATGCTGTCTTCTTGTTCTTCCTTTCTCGAATCTTGTCCAGCGTTTCGACAGAGGTTCATTCCTTACTATGATGCTTCTCAAGGCCTAGCACCTCCTGAAACGTTGAAGTTAGTGCTTCTTTGATTTCTTTCCAGTTGTTCTCCATAATAGTTTCTTTTTTAGCAGTTCTCTTAAGGCTTAGGACCCGTTGTTGAGAGTTATCTTGAATTCGTTGAGTTTGTCAGTATCTCGAATTAAGGCTGTGTTCACCATTGGTAATGCTGTTTGTCTAGTTGTTCAATAATTTTTTAGCTTCAGTTTCATCTTGGCAACCACCATTTGGTGGTGATCTGAAGCTTTTTCAACCCCTCTCCTCGTTCTCGCATCCTCCATTGACCTTGTGAATTTTTTAATGATGCAAATGTAATCTATCCGGTTCTCCGTGGTGTGATCCAAGGGACATAATAAGCTGTGATGGATGGTGGCTAGCAGTGGAATCCAGGACGAGAGTCCCGTCCCATTTGGGACTCGTCAGCTGGATGTGCATTCATCACAGAGTTGATGTTCACTCCAGGACTCGAACTCACTTTGCTCCAAACCATCGCGTCATCCACTTAGCTTCTGAGTCCTATAACAGACTTAAAAATAGTCGGATACAGTTTATACCATCATTTCGAACTACAACAATTTCACGGATCACCATCTATTTATTATTTATTACTAGTCTTAATAAAACAAAATATAGTGGTTCGACAATGTTAGTTTTCCATTTACTTCAGCAAACTTGATATATTGATGCATAAATCGATCACATGACATCTACTGCCGAAATGTGCTTGCTACTTCTAGGCTGACAGGACACAGTTACTGTGACGTAAAACAAGACAGTGTAGTTCAGTGCCAGTTTACATATTATTGTATCAAGCTTGCTGAGATGAATGTAAACGTTAGCTGGTAAATAACTGAAATGAATTAAGCATGATTTTTTACAATGTAAATGTAACAAAACATAGGCAAGTTGATCGTTTGTTTCACATTTGACTGAATCTTCAACTTTTAGTGTGTATAATCAATTATTTTAAGCACCTATATAATTGTATTTCAAAACAATATCAATAGCTGTTCTTGACATTTCCTAATAGACAACCATATCCAAACCCCTGGTTATCAGTGAACACTGGTAAACTCTGACGACACACTATCAGTTGATCTCCAAAACATTTGCAACTGTGCAGAGCAAAGAAGACAAACGAATAAGGTGCTTTGATTCATCGTATTTCTACATACGTCCAGTAAAAATGGTAGTTCGTATAACTAACAATAAATGTTAGTTTTATCTGTAACCATAAGTCATATTTCACTGCGCGATCATCTTTATGTCACTTAGCGAATTATTGTGACTTGACAGAATCGAGTGAACACTGATAACCAGATACCTATATATTGATATATTTCCAGTTACATTTCAAAATAATTTAGTGGCAGATGAGTTACTTAGAAGTGATTGATCACTGAGTAATGATCAATGTTCGTCTAGCTGTTTTGAGCTAGCTTAAATCTGTCGATCAAATCACAATGTGTCCACTTCTCTAATTGATTCAATGTCGTGTGCTGTTTTGATAATTCTGAAAGAATTGACATAATATATATTTCACTTTTCAAATATTTTTTCTTAGAAAGATAATAAAATTGAGATCTTGGATGAAAGCGAGTCTTCAGAATATGAAATAAAGGATTACGTAAGTTCTTAGAAATTACATTTAACGTGGCACATATATTACAAAGTAATCATACTGATTTTCATATTGACCATTTTAATTAATTACAGTTCTTGCTCTGACCGTTCGTTTGATGACATTAGTTTAGATTTACTAGTTCACTCATCTATTATATGGTTAGCTTATGAAAGCATATTATGAGATAGTAAAAAAACCTTCTTGAGACAAAAACAATTAATAAAATAAATAATGATAATGAAAGTTGCTTTGTTTTCAACATCTCTTTGCGGCGATTCGAATTTTATTAGATGAAAAATTCGTTAGACTTAGCTGAAAAATCTCTTTTCAAAGTCTTTTGTGTTTTATTTTCTTGATCTTCATAAATTGAACATCTACAGAATTATGCGTTCTTAATGAAGCGATTGTGAAATAATTTAGCAATTACGCTTGAAGATGCTATTTTATCAATTTCCGGCATTCTTCAACTCACCCTATGGTTGAGCGAAGGATTTTAAAATTTTTGAAATAAGAATTTATTCTGCTAAATTGTTTTTGCTAAACATCAATATACTTTGAGCACCAAAGTTTATCTTTATTTACTTAGGACGTAAAAATCTCGAATTGTTCAAAGTGAGTTTCATTTGAAAATATTCGTTTAAATTTTTCAGTTTGTGTGGAGTGTGTGTAAATATATATCGAGAAAAAATAGCAATTTATTTGAGCAAAAACTGACATAAAAATAGGTTCTTATAGATAAACGTTCGAAATACAGCACAGTCTCTGTGGGAACTCATCGAAATTAACTAAGGATAAGAGTAACTTTGCATAATATAACAATACTTTCTCTAAAACAATTTAGTTATTTGATAATTTCGACTCCCATATTAACAGAGAATATAAAAATATTTAATAAGCAATATGGTTCCACAATATATTTAAAGTGGTGTGAATCTATATGCTTAATTTCAACAAAAATTCTAATTCTTATAAAATTATATCGAGCAAGAAGAACAATCACAAAAGAATTTTATAGACTCTTTACATTTGCTTTAACTGAATACAATAAAGAGGTCCATTTAAGTCTTTTTCCTGTTTTAATATCCTCGCCTTATTTTCTCAAACGGTGTAACATTAATATGTTTCGTAAGTTCAATAAAAATTTATTCACAAAACACCTATCTGTTTGTGGTATTTGTTAGTGGATGATTTACACAACATATGTGATTGACTCACAATTTAACAAAGCATGAAACTACTGGAAAACTTATGTTTGATTTGGCTAACTGTTATAAAATATCAAAGAATGTGATCTGATTTTATCTTGCAAGCTTTATTCAAAAAGAGCTAATGTAACAGTGTGCTAACTAAAAGTATGGTCGAAAAATGTAGTATTATCTAGTGCTATTCAAAAGAAATGAAATGTTCTCCGAGAATTATAAATCCAGCATGAATTCTAATAAGGATTAGCTGAACGGGTAATCATACGAAAATTAGCCACCGATCCCACAGCTGTAAGGAATAGAACACAACCTTGAATTACAGAGTTACTCGGAAAAATAGAAAAACCAAATAGTAAATCGTTATTTTGCAAAATATTAATCCATCATATCAAAACGGTCTGTTCCTGTTGCAAACATCAATCCATTGTCTCACATTTCATTGTTCATGTGTTTTCTTACAAGTTGCATTATGTTCCTGCTCTTCCTTTCTTGATCTTCTCCCAACCTCTGCTGCCAGACATTAAGTTTTTATTTCGCGTCATATACTACTTACATCAATATAAGTAACACGCATCACACAGCAATGAAAATATTTAGATAACTCTATATATTTTGAATAAATAATAGTGTACAAAGTACAAGTAAACTAGATATGTCTAGATAATGATTTTCAACGATACAGATTGGATTGAACTACTTAAATAAAAATAAGCCAAGAAAAATATTGATTTATCTTTAACACATATACAAGTTGGTTTAAAATGCTAATCGATAGTTGTAAATATCTCATAGTTGTTATACGGCAGTTCACTGTTTGTGAAAAACACATAAGTGGACATAAATTTATCACCTTATTATCAGCGTTCATCGAAAATATTATTTACTTCTAACAGCGTCATGAGCATTATGATAATATTCTCAGTTTTTTTCATCCATTATTGAAACGACAGTCAGTAAAGTATGCGTCTATTTATCCTGTCTATTTATTAGTAATATCTGTTCACTGTCATGTTTTCAGATTTCGTTATTTCATAGAAGTCATTCAAACTATATCTATTTACTGTTATCATGAATTATCTATCAAATAAAAATGGTAATAATTCTTCATGTTTATTTTAATAATTGTTAGTTAAAATCTCATACTTGTATGATAAGCCATATTGTTAACATATTATTTTAAAGTGCAGTGGACATAAAACCTGGTCAATTGTTTCGTCATATCGACTTCTACCTTTTATGGTTGATCGAACTTTGTAACAGCGTGCCGCTTACACTTTTAACTTCTTCCTATAAAGTAAGTTCATTTTCACTTTAATTAATTATTATGTTTAATATACTGAACGTAGACTAGTATAACTAAAGAACATAATAGTCTGTCTATTAATACTTTTTGATTAGCAAGTTCATTCAAGTGTCTTCCCATCACTTGTTTAACAAGTTTTGAATAGTAATTAATCTTACAATTGTCTTCAGATGCCCTAAAACCATAAATTTAAGTGCTGAATTTCGTCTATTTCCATGAAACTGAACAGAAATAAACGTGAAAATAACTTGACTGTTGAAATATTTCCAGATTTCAAATGAGTTAATGTTATTTTTAAGTTAGTATTGCTACATTAGCGTGATAACGCCAATGTTAGAACGGACTGAGCGAGATAACTGTAGACTATATGGCTATTACTTCTATGATATATATGACTGCATACAGTTAATATGAAGAATGCAACACAGCATTATGTCAAAAGAGATCGAAATAAGAAAAATGGACGGTTTATTATCAACTTAATGCTGAACTTTAGAATATAGATATTATAATTTATTATAACGGATAAGTAATTCTAGACAACCAGTTGTAGAAAAAGTTCAGGATTAGTGATTTTAACATTCTGTGGATGTTTAAAGTTTTGAAAACGCCAACAGTACAACTTTTTAGTGATCAAAATAGAAAATCTTCTTGCAATTCTCGATCATGCATTTTCATCCAAAATTTATTATTGATACTATAGATATTAAATCCATTAGGATATGAATAAACTCATCAGTAAAAGTATTGTACCTTTGTTTAATTGGAAATGTTTACTTGACTATGTTTAGTTGTAATTCATCTTCTTTTCATTTTTACATGAAAAAGTAGTGCGTATTTTGAGAATCTTGTTACACCTATCCATGTTTGAGAAATCGTTGATTTTATCGCAAATATAAAAGGAAATCAAATATAGAGCAGCGTCAACATACTTTACCTTTAATATGCTACCAAATAATAATAACTAACGGATTTCGATAGACAATCTTATTTCTTTCTGATTATGATGATAGTGGTACAGTGAAATCAAAATGATTTGGTAAAGATAAACATTTATTTGGAGTCGAAAAATCTAAGAAACGGCAGTCTTCTTGTTCAACACGTTTTTTGATTTGATAGATACAACACTACTGATGAAAATTGTATAGTCAATCTGTGGAAATGAGCGTAGCTTTTATTAGCCTTTTCTACAGAAACCAGTTTGACTCAATTACTTATCTTCTACGTCCAAACGTTTACGAGAATTCAAAACGTTTTACTTCAAAATACCGATTCAGATAACTCTAGATTTATACATATTTTTTATGAGGTATCAAAATACCGCTAACTTTCTTTGTTTTATTTTACCACTATTATACAAAGTAATGTCCAGTATCATTTCTTCTTTCATGATGATGATTACATCTAATCACTCGTAAACTGCTAAATGATTTCGAATTACTAATTTGTAACGCAGCAGGACTTTGTACTAATTTTAATGGTTTTATGGACAAAAATTCTTGGCTGAGAAATGAAGGGACATTTTTCTGTTTTATATAAGTTTTGTTCATTATATACTAAACTAGCTACCGAGTTGTATTTTTTCCAAGTTTTTCATGTTGTACCACACCAGAACAGACAAATTTCTTTATCAAACGAGCACTTCGAAAACTTATCATAAACGTCATATGTAAACGCACTTTTAAGTTCTTATAAACACCTTTAGTCCTAATAACGGGATACACGACTAATCTCTTTTTCATAAATCTACGTAACATCGAAATATTTTGTACGTGATCCTAATATTTTTATGAAAATGTTCATAAAAAACTTATTTTATGTCCCGTCAAAATGAAGTTAAAGATTTTTCAACCTAAAGATTATTAGTTATCGAAATGCATTCTTCAAATTTTGTCAATTTAAAAACTATGATGGAAATACCATTCTTTGGTATTTCTTTGTTTTCACTGACATTTCTAACTTACCAACATCTCCTACCACTCAATAAATTTGTTTACATTGTTTTCAGTTATTTGGTCAGTCGTTTATCAGTGATGATAAGTACCTATCAATTATAGTTACAATGACTGCAGTTTTCAATGCCGGTGGCCGTATTATATGGGGATCAATTGTGGATCGATTTTCATACAAGGTGAGACATTTATCACATAACTCGTATGAAAAACTTCCAGAAAAATCCACAAATCTACAAAAAAATGTTAGATTAGTTTGAAAATCTAACCAAACATGTCACTTTTATTTTGACAACCTAAGATCTTCCTTTCTACGAAACCAATCACGTTTTCAAGAAATTTGTTACAATTCACATTGGCATATACTTAATGCACATTGTGGTGTTCACTTCTGTTTTTTTAAGAACAAAAGATAAGTCCAGTGACACATTTTAACACACTTCTGCTGTCGAGCTAAAACTAATACGTACAGAGTAATCAGATCACCCTAGTAGATGAGAAATACAATATAAATGATCCTCTCCAGCTCTCGGACTGATAACTATGATTGACGTTTTATTTACTACTGTTCATTCGGTACAATAGTGAGTTTGTTATAACTTGTGGTCTGTGTCCCCTGTTTATGTATAACGTAATGATACCTCCAATTAGAGAGCAGTGGCTTATCGATCGGACCAATGACGCGTAAACCCGTATGATCAGTCTGGAGTAATTATCGGTCCTGATTCCTGCCTAGCCCAGCCAGTCAACTCGAGAACACTAATCTCAGCCTCGATATGAATCGTTTATTTCAAACATACTGGGTTTATATACCAACCAGACAGACCACATCGTACCACAAAATAGGAAACAACATTTGTACAAGATTCAGCCAAAAGTGGCTGTGAGTGTGGGAGGTGATAATTAATAGACGGCATAATTCAAGAATGGTAAATCGTAAAATAATATAAGAAAAACGGATATGAACGGTTTAATTATTTGACAATTATACGATAAAAATATGCGCATATTATTATTCCATAAATAGATCCCAAAAGTTACCATTCATTATGCTTATCGTGACATAACAGAATTCTAACTATAATATACAAAAAATCAATGTCGATCAGATATAGTATGTTAAATTCTATGGATACTTTCATTCTATTGAAATTTCAGTTTGGAGCTTTTAATACATAAATTAAATTTATTCATGCCTACCCTATTTAAACCGTAGTTACGTCGACGTTTGTACAATATGATTGCTCAATGAATGGAGAAAAACCTTTAACCTTTTTTATGGTGAAAGATAGTTCTAGTAACTTATTTATTCACTGAAAGTGCCGTCTAATTATACACCTGGAATGAATTTCAGTGGTTCTTCTGTATTAAAACAGATGAATACATTAAAAATAATATATTATATAAACTTGTTACTCAGAACAAGAATAAGAGTAAACGTGTACTTCGAAATTCCTGGTGTTTGATGGCATAATATATACAAACACGTTTAAGTTGAAAGTCATTTTATCAATGAAGTAGCAGATGTAATACCTAGTTCTTTTTAATTTCTCAAATGGGTTTTAATGATTGTTTTAATCAGTAGATAAAACTTTAGGCGTATTCTGCACAGATTTTTAGTTATCAACCATATTTTGTAATTCTAGATGTAGAAAATCTTTATTCATCAATGTAATAACATATTTCATTTTAAATTAGTATGCATTTTAATGAATCGGAAATATCAGTGTAAACTTTATCAGTCAGAAACAACAGTAATGTCTTGTACATATGGTTGTGATTAACAGTTTTCATTAACTTTTATGCATTTGCACTACCAGTTGTACTATGAGAGTGTTAGTCATTATTCGTAAATGGATGATGTCGCTAGTAAAAATCAACCACAAAGTTTGATTTTCACGAAAATCAGAAGTAATAAAAAACTGTATGTATTTAATAAACTATGGGGGTTTACAACTTCTAAGAATTTAGAGTATAATATTACACAGATTGGAGCGAAAATTAAATATTCACATTTAATTCAAAGAAGTCCACTACTTTTTCAGAAATTATTTATATGGATAATTATTGTTGACATGTATTTAATCGAAATGTAGAATCTCACTTTTTTCATGTCGTAGATTCCGTTTTGTATAATAAGCCTGATTTGGGCCATCCTTCTTTTGACGTTTCCTTACATCAGTCTGACGGATGGATTGACGGCGAAAATGCTTTATTGTATTTGGGGTATTGGAGGTTTTCTTTTTTTAAGCAGTGTATCAACAGTGGCTCCAGCAGCCATAGGGTCGATGTTCGGATGCACAAACATGGCTATTAACTACGGGATAGTAGCATGTGCACGAGTACGTTTACCTATTTCATGTTGATAAATATCGATATTGTTTTGTATTTACCATGCTCATAATTGAAACGCTAGATGTTTTCGAACAACAGCTAATTTAAGTCTTGTAGTCTTAATGCAGATCAGGAGCTATGCAGACAATACTCTCACTTCTTAATGAAAACACAAATTTGTCTACTAAATGATGAAAAGTCAAGGTAGATGAAAATCAAATTTATTACTCGAATTCTACTAAAGATTCATTACTACTGATTGATATAAAAATAAGTCCTATTTAAAAGTTATTTTTAGTTGGGGGTTTTTGAAGATTTTCGAACTTTAGTGAGATCAAAGATCGAGCTAAGTAAGACAACCATTAAAAATTTGGAAGCACCAGTTCTAATTCGGAGCTCCTTGGCAATCCTCACCAACAACCCCACAACAGGGAATCGATTCCAAGACCTTCAATTTTTGCGTTATTACGCTTAACTTCTAGATTACTAAGTCGATTTTCATTGATATATAAGTTCGACTGAAACCAAGCCAAGTGTGCAACCATCTTCCATTATCGGTAAGTAACGTCCTCATACCCGACACAGTTGAACTCCATTAGTTACAGTGTAATGCCACCGCGTCTTTGACGGTCGTCCACCTTAGATCTGTTCGCGATTTCAATAAAATTAAAAAGTAATGTCTCGGAAACATTACATCAGTATCACAAAAGTACCAATTCGAATCCATGAGCACTGTAAACTTCCACTGACCTCCGCATTTTTGTTCTGTCAGTTCTTCAGATGGTTTCAGAACTAACTATTCATTTTATTAACACAAATTTAGATAAATGCCATCAATTTAAACAAAGTTTAGTAATGAGATGCACCTGTTAAACAGCTTATATGTTCTATAACTTGTTCCAAATAGCATAATTAGAGAACTAAAAGCATTCACTCTATGAAAATCTTTATCGGTTTATCGATGATAAATTTTTTCATTCCACGACTCGGATAAGAATCATGTCTTCAAATTATGTTAATGACTTCATTTAAACCATTTTTAGTCATAACGGTAGTTTTCATTACAGATAAAAGTTGTATTTCTTTTCATTTTAGAAATTTAACAGAATAGTACGCTAGGTGGTGAAAGTATAATATTAGGGGATCTTAACCTACTTACACTTTCAATTATTTTTATCATTTGAAAATAATTTCTTTACCACTTCTTATGTCCCAAATCTTATTTATTTACACGGTTTCTTGTTTGCTTCCCACTAAAGTGAATTACCCCAAGCAAGATCCATGACTTCCGATGACTGAGAAGCCGATGATTTCTCGATGTAGTCGCGCTAGTTTAAATCATTCTACTGCTTACTATGGATAAATGTTCATTGTATGTGAAACTGCTTATCCTCGAACTTGTACAACGTGGATAATATGTAAATCTGTTGGTTTGAAGCAGATAATTTGACGAGTTGTAGCCACCATTCTTACCTTTTAAGCATAATGAGTTTTATGTCTACTGTGTTTGATGTATTTATTTCCCTTGGTAAACTTGTAAATCATGTACAAGAAAGATTTTGATATAAAATCAACCCATTTTACTCTGCGTGTTCTAAATCTTCCACACACTGATTTTTGCAAATAAATAAAATTTTTGTGCATAGCATACTGTTATTCAGTTATACAGTTCAAATTAATTTATTACAAATAATTTTACCATTCTTTTGGTTCAATATTCACAAGAAAACGATGTCAGCTTAAGTTCAGATGACTTTGTGTTTATTCCAAGGTGTTTTCAAAAAATAACTAAATGATTTAGTTTTACGTATTACAGATTGTGAAGTGGCTTGAGACGAAAATTTTTATTTATCAAATTTCCTTTCACTTACACAGTCTTGTCATAAACTGAAAGATAATAAAATTAATTAAGTAGTCAAGTAATTTTTATCTGAAATATTATCATTTCAATCAACAATTTGAAATGCGATACATAATCAATGAATTGCTTTGGATATCAGATAAACATGATTAAAAAATTTCTAAATAATCCTTATGGTCATCAATCATATTTGTTACTTAAACCTAAATTATTTACCGGAAACTATGAACATTCATATGGAAATCGATAATATGTGTGTTTATCCTTTGTTATTCTACGTAGGCTATAGGAAGTCCTTTGTGTGCCTTTGTCCTCACATTTATCAGTTCAGAGAACCTATACATTGTCCAGTTTACTATATGTGGATCCGCAAGCCTAGTAGGTGAGTAGTTCAAAATCGGTTAAAAATGATGTTCAATTATATAACACAATAACTTGCAATGTTTTCAGTCGGAAAATATCTTAAAAATTATAATTTCATTAGAGTACAAGATAAATGTAATTACTTAAAAACACCATAAAGTAAAAAGAACATACATTTATTTAAACGTATTTTTGGCTTTATTGTTATGATTTAAGTTTTCTTCCGAATCTGTTCTTGATGTTTAAGCCTTAATAACCCGGGGACGGGAAAAATTGAATAACAAGGCAGTAGACAAAACTTGTCCATGTCAAGAAAAGGAACTGAAAACAGTTACTCGTATTTTTCCAAAACTTGGTTCCCACACTGTGAAAGGTCATGTGACTGAGATGGTTTCTCCGTGTACTTTAATATAAAGGTTAACAAAAAGACCTTGTTATGATGATTTTGACTGACTTGAAATGTATATATTAGAGCTCGTATCGAATTTTGACTGTTTTTTAACCAAAGGTAAGTTTTACGCGATAGTGTTAAAGGTATGGTGAAAGTATGTAGCCTTATCAGAGACATTTTTAAAACGCAATATCCCAATTAAAGAATACAGTTTTTTGTTGAATTCTACAGCTTTTCTTCTTGCCTTATGGATTGACGATCACAAAATATCGAGGAATTTAAATTGTTGCTCATTTTGCTCCAGGACATGCAGTCATTTGCGTATCCAAAGAAAATATTGATATCTCAAATTGGTTTTACATTCTTTGAGAAGTACGGTTATAACTTTATTAATGTAAAGCTTTTAACACTTATGGTGTTATATTGTTCTCTTTGATTATTAAATAAATATACTTCTTAACAAACATAGTTTTCTATTTCTTTATTTATTGTTTATTCACTAACTGTCATTAGTAATGTAGGAAGTAAATGCAAAGGAAAAATATAAAGTTACTTTTTCAGAAAAATTATCCACACATTTGATTATTAAAATAAAACAATGTACAAGGCGGTTATAAGGGATAATTATGATATTCAAATGGATGTACTAAGATCTTACGCAAATTGTTTTCCTTACCATGATGGTCACAAAGAGCTCAATCATTTAATATTTTGTTTTTCTAGTACGATTAGGACTAATTAAAGTAATAACCAAACTGATACATTTTTGATATGCTCTGAACACATCACTTTCTGTCAGTTTTTTTCAAATGTCTTTTTGTGCTAAATATAATTTACAATGTTCATAAGACAGGAATCTCATAGATCGATAAACAAAATAACTTTTCCCACTATAATGTGTACAGAACATGATGCAATGTGTATATCTGTGTATTTTCGAATAAATGTTTTCTAAAATGTGAGAAACTCAAGTTTATATAATTGTAGCGGCTATTAATATGTAACATTGTGATAATTAGGAGTATTTGAATTATAGTACTAATTAAGAATCCAAAAAGAACGCAATTGGATCAAGAATTACTAGATAAGCACGAACGAATGCAATGTATTTGGGATTCGAAATCAAGCATTCAACAAGTACAAAGGAATCGTTAGTTCATTCAATCACAACAAACATACTCTGTATGAGACAGTATCGTATAACGCTAGGTCGCAAATAAGTTAGTCTATTCTGAATGTAAACTAGAAAGAAGGTTGAAATGGCTGAGAGGAATAGCGTTGCATATTTTCCGTGCCAGGTCCTGTCCATAATACTTGACTAACCGAAATCAGCTTATATTGTCTTCTCGTGTCAACATCAATGTCGTTTGTCAGGAAGCTGCTCATTATGAGTCATTATTTACTGTAATCTAAAAGTAAACATATGGTACACTTTTGTTAAGATTATAAATGTCAAATAATTTAGTATCTTGCACACTTCACGTACAAACGAATTTAGAGACAAATCCAGTGAAGCTGTACGTCAGCTTGTTTTTTAGAATAATGATCTTAGATTGGTTATATAACCGAAGTGAGTATCCAAAGGACATTTCTTCCATTTTAGTATAAGCGGTCGTGTTTCAGTAATATCGATATCGTTAATATACTCAAAATTTCCCCAAACAGAGTTTAAAATATTTCATTAGAATTACCAATAAATTGTCAGGCTGATTTTTATCGTGAGACGTAATTCGCTTGTGATAGCTTATCCGTAAATTGAGCCACATGAGTATAGGTATGTGGAGATATGTCTGACAAGCTTATTTTGTAAATAGTTTTCAATGTTATTTGTATTTGTTTTGTCAATTTTTCACTGTATGTACATTCATCATTAAATGACTGTACGTGTTGTTTTAGTCAATGACCTTGAAGACACTTTCCGTTGTGATTCCAACATAGCGTGACATATTCTTTCTGGCTAACAAATACATTAATACTCACACATCCCTCGTTCTGTTCTCATTCGAGATTGAGTTAACTTAGTTCTAAAACAAATATTATTTACATTCATAGACTGAGAAAGTGAATACATCATATCTTACTTTGGATTACACTACTGGGGAGATCATCGATACGTTTGGAATTACTAAGCATCTATAATTGTGGGTTTATTGTACCAGATCAAAGCCGAACACGGATCATTTTGGGTGAACTTAAGTAAAGTCCCATTTTTATTGTATTTGTAACATTTAACTTGTATATATTAATATTACTATTGGTTGTTATTAACCTTGTTGATATTTTTTGCTTTTATATATTGTCTGGTCCACCACAGGTATTTGTCATTACATGTTTTTGTAAATACCAGATATATACTTTACTTCAATAAAGTTACCCTTCTTGTCCATCCATTTATTTAATAAAGACTAAGAAATATGACACAAGTCCTAGATAAAAGTTAACACATAAAACGAAGGGTGTAACTCAAGAATTATGAAAATTGCAAGATAAGACACTGGTGAGATTTTCAAATAATTCATTCTGTTACAAGAACTAATTTGGTTGGCATATTCCTCGACTATTCTGGAACTCAAAGCAACTGTCAACCAACACCAAGTTCAGGATTTTCAATACAAATGTCAAGACAGTTCTACTGTATGGGGCAGAAACCTGGAGAACTACGAAAGCCATCATCCAGAAAATACAGGTGTTTATTAACAATTGTCTACGCAAAATACTTCAGATCCATTGGCCGGACACTATTAGCAACAACTACTGTGGGAGAGGACAAACCAGATCCCAGCGGAGGAAGAAATCAGGAAGAAGCGCCGGAAGTGGATAGGACACACATTGAGGAAAGCACCCAACTGCGTCACAAGACAATCCCTTACATGGAATCCTCAAGGCCAAAGGAAAAGAGGAAGACCAAAGAACACATTACGCCGAGAAATGGAGATAGACATGAGAAAAATGAACAAGAATTGGATGGAACTAGAAAAGAAGGCCCAGGACAGAGTGGGTTGGAGAATGCTGGTCGGCGGCCTATGCTCCATTGGGAGTAATAGGCGTAAGTAAGTAAGTAAAGTATTCCTCGACTATAAAAGTAAATCTCCAGTTTGTCGGGAAAGAAGATTATGATCAAAATTTTCAGTTCTTCACTTTTATTGGTCAGTCGTGAGCAACATGGTACTTAGTATGTAAATGTATCGGTTCAAGTTGACACGACTCATTAGCACAATAATGTGACTAATAAATGTTAATCTCAGTTTAGAAGCAGTATCATTTTAAACGTTGGATGAAGAAATCAAAGAAGCATAAGTATATTTTGCAATTTATAACCTAAGACGATGCAAACACTGGATACACCTATGGCACTGATAAGAAATTTGAGAATTATAACCCTCATCAACGTACAATAAGTATTAGTAGTAAGGGGTGCTCACAAACATTAGTTTAAGAGTTGACACCAACCATTCATGAACCAACGCAACAATGAGACCGGTATTATGGAAAATATCTATGACAAAAGGATTTCTGTCTTCCCTTTTATACTTGAGTGAGCGAAAATCAAATCCAGTCAGATGAGATGAAATCACATCCCTCGACCTTACCTTATGTCTCAGTTATTTTTAACGCCAAAACCATGATCCCATAATTGTATGTCGCTGGTGTCAACCACCCACGTTTAATTGCTCTCTAGTCCCAAATGACTGCAGGTTTTTCAAACTTTTTGGGTATATACAGGCTTAGGTCTATCTGATATTACAGTGGTTTCAGAACAACTGTTTCGACAACAACCAGATTATTCCCCTGTTTTCTTGATTAGGCAGGATAAGTATTTAACATTATCTACCAACGCTTATTTTTGAATATGTTTTACCTGTGCTGCTCATCACTGCTCATGACCATTCCCTGTGCTTTTAGTCAGTTCATATTAAGTTTCCATCGACCGTTATTGTTTCTGAAGCATGACAGAATGAGCTTCTCATTGATGTAGTTGCTGGAAAACGTTTGTTGTATGAATCTCTTATGTTAGTACAGGTATTTACGTTTATGCCAGGTAAAATAAAGTATCCGTGTTCACATATTACTTATAAGATGTTTCAAAAGTAACCACTAAAGCAACTAGTACTACACATCACACCAATTTTCAAAGGTGGTCGACGCAACGAACCTTCAAGTTATCGGCCGGTGGCTCTTCTGTCATTACCTTCAAAACTCATGGAGTCCCTGATATGAGACGGTTTAAATGACTATCTAATGTCCTTAAATTTCTTCTCACCCCAACAGCATGATTTCAGGAAGGGTTACTCTTGTATAACCAACCTGCTGACTGCGGTGGACAGATGGACAAGCATCCTCGATCGCAAGGGAAGGGTTGATGTCATTTACCTTGATTTCTCAAAAGCTTTTAATAAGGTTAACCACTTGTGTCTTATCAACAAGCTCAAACGACTAGGTATCAAACCACCTCTAATCGACTGGCTTACTTCATATCTGAAAAATCGACATTTTAAGGTTAGGGTTAACTTCACTTTATCTCAGGCTATGGAATGTCCTAGTGGGGTCCCCCAGGGCTCAGTACTAGGACCTCTTCTCTTCTTGATCTACATAAATGATCTTCCTCAACAGGTGACGTCAGACTTATTACTTTTTGCCGACGACGTGAAACTTTGGAGAGAGATACGCAACCAAGACGATATACAGGCACTTCAGGAGGATCTGACTCGACTTCAAAGGTGGGCAGACGATAATGGACTTACCTTTAACACTTCAAAGTGTAAAGTAGTCCATCTTCGACATGTCGCAAACTACAGTTACAACTTAGGAAACTCCTCTCTAGTAGTATCCCAAGTCGAAAAAGATTTAGGAGTCCTGGTGCCCCATGACTTAAAGTCTTACGCTATCTGTGACAAAAATGCCTTCCGAGCAAACCTTGCACTGGTAACGTTAAGGCGCATTTTTGTCCAGTTTGACGGAAGAACTTTCCACACAATCTTCAATAGTTTCATCCGTCCCCATTTAGAGTACGGAAACACAGTATTTCCTCCCTCACTCGAAAAGGACAAGGTCACTTTGGAGCGTATCCAACGGCGAGCCACGAAGTCAGTTCGAGGACTCAAATCTAAACCTGACGAAGAACGCCTCCGTTCACTAGACCTTTACCCACTAGAATATAGGCGTCTTAGAGGTGATTTATTAATAGCTTATAGTATTCTTAACACTTCTGGACATCCTCTTAAACACCTACTTAAGCTTAGTTCGAATAATAACCTAAGGGGTAACACCCAGAAACTGGAAACACAACATAGCGAGACGGAATGTAGACACAACTTCTACTCCTTAAGAGTTGTCAAATGCTGGAATTCGCTGCCGGCCGAGCTAGTCCAAGCGACTTCTCAGGAGTCCTTTAAGAGGCAACTTGATTTGTTCTTAAGAACCAAGGTCAGCATCACACTATGATTTACCAATTTCTTTTCCTCTTTTATTGTTAACATACCTAGGTTCCTGCCTGGAGGATTTGGTGATCCCCTGCTACTAGACACGGAAGCCTGTTAAGCGAAAGCTTCTTCTATTCCGTCCACAACCATTTGAACCATTTAGATCTTGTATGATCTAGAATGTACTCACTAGTATTAGAATAAAAAACCGAAATTCGAACAGACTTTTCCGGTTCCTGGAATTAAATCTGATTAACGTATCGGTTATGTTTAACTAAATCAGCTCTATCTTAAACGTAGGTACTGGGTAATAACTCAAAAAACATTCATCTGTACTTTTACTCAGTGTAACTTTAAGGATTTTGGAAAACATCGTTCACGAAATGTTGTTTAAGCATCGAAATGGAACCTGACTCTCCCCTAAGAAAATAACTTTACTAGAATGTCTCCAATATTTTCGTGTCATAAGAACGTTGGCATACCCTGTGTAGCGGTAAATAAATCCTCAAAATAAATATCTCTTTAAGTTTTCGATATTGGATGCTGACCACATGTTTTAATGGACTCACCTAGCTGAAGGCACTCGGTCATGCATCCGCACCAGATGACGTGTGGGAACGCCATGCTCAACATCTACTGCAATTGCTAGCCAGACTAGATAACACAATTCCGATATATTGACAGTCGTCAAATACAACCTCTGATCTTCTCGATTCTGTCTTTTGATTTCTCTTGATGGGTACGAGTTATATTAGAAGGTGTTACTGATAAAAGCGTTATCAAACACTGAATACCTGTGCCATCTTCACCTGAAACACATTGTATTTTCCCCGGTAAAAACGTTTGATAGAGTTTCACGAAGTGGATTAATACCTAAATTAGGCCATATAGAGGAAAGTTTTATCAAAAAAACTGGAAAAGTGTTTGACGGAGTACTCCAAAGAATAGTATAGACCCTAATGTTTCTTGTATGTTTTTTTCTTATATGTAGATAACACGCCTAGTGTCCTATCATTATCAACCTTCTTATGTGCCAACAATATACATATATATGTGAAAAGCCCCACATGATGGAGATGACAGTTTTCAGCCACGGATATTGTCTGAGTGGTTTAAAATTTAGTAGTTGTTGCTCACTATTTACCTCAACACATGTTTGAAACGCAATCTGTCAAATCACCTACTAGAGTAATAAATCAGCTGAATAACTATCACCACCAATACTAACAAAAGCGGCCCAGCATCCAGTTCTTGATATACTTAAGAGAGTAAACAAATGTATTATGACTTTAAAAAACTATTGATGAGCTGACTTTCAAGGGAATATAGTGAAGATTTAAGAAGTGGATAATAAACTAAGAACCCGAACTAATCAACACACAATTCTGGAGATATACGCACAGCGTTTAGCTCTGATGAAAAAAGCAGTTAAAATTGTTTAAATTTATCACATCTTCATAACTCTTACGAGTACGAATTCGACTGGAGGTTTACTTGTGTTGAGTTCCAGTTGATTATTGGTTTTGGAAGATGGTAGGAATGTGGGACTAATATATGCACCTATTTTGATTTAGAAAGAAGAAAGAAAAAACTTAATATTTGGTTGTATCGCTATTACCGGGGGAATTTTGATTAATTTGACTTTCGGTTACTTCTACACTGTTGGTGAGTCCTTTGAATACGTCTTCTTATTTACCAGCTAATATGGTACCCTACATAATGGGATATGTACAAACAGCAATAGATCCTTATATATCCAATCAAGCTTCCATATGGCTATCAGCTATTGCTTTAGCAGTTCAAGGGATTTCAATGCCTGTCGGTGGCATAATAGCTGATAAATTGGGATTTAGAGTGGTGGTTGCAGTGAGCTGTCTTACAATGAGGTATGTTGTCAGAGGTTTTGCCTACAACATTTTGGGTTTTATGCCTCATATGATTTACATTCTGTGTTGTAATGTACCTATAAATACCCTCATGGATATTTAGCTTGCTAACTAAATTTTACATAGGACTCTAATAGAAGTAGGATTGTTTAAACTAAAAAAAAGTTCTTACAGTTTTAATACTCATTGAATTGCTTATTTTCTGTAGCGGTGGAGTTCTTTTGACTTACTTCACAATTCGAACAACTTATGTTGGCGTGGTTATAACCTATGCAGTCTTAATGGGTTCTGGTTTGGGACTTGGATACTCAGTAGTACTAACAGTTGCAGCTTCGGTAAGAAGTTTTGTATGAGATAAGTTTTTAACAAATATAAACTTTTCTATAAAAAGTATCAGAATATTTGTCCGATGATTCCACATAATCCTTAAGCTATATTTTGCCTAGGAATTATGAAACTACAGTCAGTCAGTCAGTCAGCTACAACGTAGGACCAGGCACATATGAAACTACACCGTACATCTTATGAAGTTAAAAGCAAAGGCTTACTTCGTGTTGAATCATTTTTGCTTCGGTGAGATGATATATGTATGTCAATCTATTGGTTATGTTTCCAACTCTTTTGGGTTTATCACTTGTCGCAGTTGTATAGAAAGTCATACGATGAATATGCGCTAAATTTTTGCTGACTGCATAATTTGCTAAACCAAATTTAGATGACTTACCGAGACTATTTGAGGTGGACGGGAAGTTTAAAAAATACATTGAATGTTTGGTGGTTCTCTATCATTCTGTGTATTTGAAATGTTATTGTTATGTTAGTGATCTCATCCTGTAATATTCATTAAAGTTTAAATGAGTTACCACCAAGATAATAACCTTCAAAAAAGCTGTAATTTGTTGAGTAAATGATAAGATATTTTGTATTAATTTTGTTTCTGTGAGTCAGTAGTGGCTTGTTACATTGTTTTACAGGAGATAAATTAAATGTAGAGAGTATAATCAGCTGAAGTTTAACACACTAACTCAAATCTTTCATTTAGTTCTAGCAATACTAGTCTTGAGTTTTCTCAGTATAGTCGTAAAAAACATCATTACATGATATCAAATCAAGTATTATTTTGGCCGACCGTTAATGCTACCTTTAGGTGGTAGTCGAGCTGTCATTAAGAATAAAAAAACCGAGATATATTGACTGGAAAAAATGTTTCTCGATGTCCTGCATGCCAGACAGGTCGGTTGAAGAGCGGTAAGAGTAAAAGCAGCAAACCCAAAGACCGAACGCGAAGTCGTACTGTTGACTGTATAGAGTTGTGACGGCAGTAGGATATTTCCTCCACACAGCCAGCATAACAGGGATGCTGTCTTCCCACGAGGAGGGATGTGGTTAGAAACGCTGGACCCTAAAAGTGCACACCTCGTCTTATTCTAAGAATATCCGTCTCCGGTTGGTAACATTAGATAGCTTTTCAGACTTATGAAAGGCACCGGAATTATGAAGTCGAGTATAGGTAAAACAATCTCGGAAAAAGACGACACTCTTATCCGCTCTCAGTCCAGAAGTTTACAACAATGAGTGGAACACCTTAAGGAGCAGTTCAGCTGGCCTTCGGCTACCCAACATTTCCAGATAGTCTGAATGAAACATTGAAATAGGCCCCTTTACTCCAATTGAAGTTTAAAATGATATAGTTAATCTAAAACGAGGAAGAGCAACTGGTCCATATGGATTAATTCCAGAGGTCTTCAAGTGTGCTGGTCCAGTTTTAGAGATTAAGTTGACTAATATTTTAGCTAAAATATGGGAACTGAATGTAATCCTATCTGACTGGTCGCAATCTCTGGTCGTCCCAATATATAGGATATGATCAAAATCATCCTGTGGTAACCACAGAGGGATTAGTCTGACTAACATAACATCTAAAATACTAGCCTCAATAATTATGAAATTCCTAACAAAGACTCGTGAAATGCAAACACAAGAAAATCAGGTTGGCTTCAGACCTTGTCGTGGCTGGATCGACCACATATTCACCATTTGTCAGATTTTAGAACACAGGCTTGCTTATCGGCGTCCGACAATGACAGTTTTTCTTGACCTAAAAGCATCATTTCAATCTGTATACCGAGAGGTTCTGTGACAGTGTCTGTCATTGGAAGGTGTACCTCAGAAGTACAAAAACCTTGTGAAGGCTCTTTAGTCGAGCATCACCAGTCGAGTCAAAGCTTATGATGAAGTGTCATCTGATTTCGCAACCTCAAATGGTGTCCGACAAGGCTGTCCATTATCTCCAATTTTGTTTAAGCTCATCATAGACACACTGATGAAAATAACGCTCTTGTCGATTGAATTTTTGGGCGCTGATCTCCTATCAGGAGGTCCACTTATTGTCTTATGATACACAGATGAAATAGTTGTGTTTGTTGAAGACACTGATAAAATGCAGTGTTATGGTAGTACTGAACGGTCAAACCAAAACAAGGCATCAGTGCTTTAAGTCACTAACTTCTAGTCTTAGCCATGTTGGTAGATGCAGACTATTTGGTTGTGGTCCGCGCAACTATTGTAACCAGTGGTCGGAGACTCAGAGTGATATAGCTTACAGTCGATCACAATGGCGTAGATGTATACTCTCTTCGTCTTCCATTAAACTGCGAGATTAAAATTGCTTTATACCCTTCTTTCTACCAACTAATTCGTTCTCCCTGTGTCATAACCTTATATGAAATGTTTCTTTTACTACCATTGAAGCAACTGCTTCTATGAATTTGGTGTTCATCTTGTTGTGCTAATGAGATGTGGCAACTTGGACCGATGCATATATGTGCCTGGTCCTACGTTACAGCTGACTGACTGACTGACTGAAATATTATTTTGCTGAATTTAGTTGTGAAAGTATATGCCTTCCATCCAAACGAATATATCTTGAAGCTGCAGTTGGCCTGATAAAAACAAGAATATTAGTATCCTAACTTACGAGCTGATTGCCAAACCACTGCATATATTTTTCTGGTGAAATTGTACATTTGAATTTTTTGCGTACGACATATTTTGCGTAACAGTTTACTATTTTGGTCACATAATAACAAGCCGGATCTGGAAATTACAAGGTTTTAGCTGGCGGATAATATTCTTACTTACAGTTTTTTATTACTTAGAGTTTTTGCTATCTATGACAAAAAGCTTAGGCGTATTATTTAGGTGACCTTTGTTACTTATGATTAACTGAATAATCCAGCTGACAATTTTTTGCCAGGAAGAGATTTTGTGTTATTAGAGTTATTAGCACTTATCACATATATATAATTATTAGTATTATCTCTTCTCGTTATAGTGGTTCCCAGATCATCGCGGCCTGATTGTCGGAATGGTGGCCGGTGGGTTCGGTCTTGGAGCATTGGTTTTCACGCCAATTCAAACAGCACTAATCAATCCCAATAATGTAAAGGTGAATAATGTTACAAGGTAGGAAAATTGTATGTTAGATAGACATAAAAAATCTTTTATACAGCTTTTTTACACTAGAAGTATTCAACAGCAATCACGAAAACTGAAACTGAAGAGTGATCTCACATACAGCTCCATTTTATCCACTGATACTGAATAATCTACCTAAGGAGAGCTTATCCCGTTTTATCTGTTAAATTATAGCTTTACATTAAACAGTTTGTCCATAAATAATTTATTTTATTGTTTAAAGTTGGGTTAAACAAAGTTACAAATTAAGTAGAGTTTTCGAAATTGATAAAAATGCTTGTGAAACTGAAGAATAATATTGTTGTATTTATAATTATGCCTTCAAAACTATAAACGTTTTTGCATATAAACTAGTCCATTTGATTAAAACAAGAAAAAATAATCAAAATACTTTGTTTAGAAACTTGAACAAATGTCCTATTTAAAATTTACTGCTGGGGCTTTTAACTCACATAACAGCTTTTGATAGGTTAAGGGGTGTGGCTTAGTAGGCTAACGACCCTAAACATTATAACACAAAATAATGAAACACAACATAAACCTCACTTTGATTTCTGGATGGTACTAACAGATGCAAAAAGTAGTAATTAGTCTCTAATGTGTTCATCGGTAGTGCGTTGGATGTTTCGACTGTTTTGAACAACGTTTCCCAACAAATTGGGCACCTTTATTTGAATAAAATACCTTGGTTTTAGAGTAGTACATTATATAATTTACCGTATTCCTTTTTAATTTGTGGTATTTTGCAGTGAACTAAAAAACTTGGAGCATTTCAGTTTCATTAAACGTACTTTGAGTGAAAAACACTTTTCTAATTGCTCAGTTCTGTAATAAAAGCAGTTTATGATCACGTAATTATATACATACTCTAAATAACGAAGGCTTTCAGCTTTTGTAAAAAGAAAAACTGAGTATGTTCAACTATGGTAACTTTAAAAGTGTCAACGGTAATGTTTTGGATCATAAGCACAAATTATCTTTCATTTTATGTGAATACTCAAAAGTTTCAACTTCTACGTAATATGTAGGTATACAGTTTTGTTTTACATTGATAGACGATTTACCGATCCTGATGTCTTGGACCGTTTACCGTCAGCGTTTCTCATACTTGGTGGTATTTTGCTGTTTATTCAAGTTATTGGATTTGGATTATTACGTCCTAAACCTACTTCAAAACGTGTAAGTTAAATATTTTAGAATATAATGATTCCTATGCTGCAAACATATTAGGATAATTTGCACCGATTATATGGGGTCCCATTTGAATTTAGCAAGATAAAAATAAAAGACTGTAATTGACAGAGTAATCAAGCCATAGGCTGGTCTATATAATATTTATCCATAACTACTCAATTGAACAGGTATTTTGCTGCTTTTTCCTTGCAAAGTAAATTATTAGAAGTTATCTAATTTTTTATACGTTAAAGAATTTCTACTTGAAATCAATTTAAATGAATATAACTATGTTAAATTAACCAAATAAGTAGTCTCCGACTCTCAGTAGTCAGTAAAATTACGGGATTCCGTGAACATGATTTCATTATGTAGCTGAAAATTAATTGCTCTCTAATTGTAATAATAATCCTCACAAAATGACATCAGTTTTATTGCTCCAAAATTCTTTCAGCTGCTTATTTTCAAATGTTTAAAAATCAAGCGAATTGTTTTTTTTTGGATTTTCAAGTCCATAATTAATGAGTTGACTGAAAACTACAGTATTATTACATTCTAGATCGTGAGTTCCGTTTTACATTCCTGAGCGAGGTTGCATCACTGTATTCTCTAGTCGTTACCAAACAAAATTTAACTTTCCACGGAATACGACATGTTAATTTGAACAAATATTTTTTGACTAAACTCTTATATTTCAAGCCTTGACACCTTTAACTATTCTCAAAGATTTATAGGATCACAAAACAAAATAAAAAATGTAATTAACATGACTCAGTCAACTATGACCGGTTGAAGTGTAGCTGTATCACCCATAATATTTGATATTTCTTTTTTGTTAAAATATTGTAAATTATCCTAAATATAACGATGTGTTATCAAGTCATGAAATGAAAAGCATCATAAGAAAGACTGTTTCATCTCCATAAATGACCTCATATTTATTGATCTTTGAGATGTGTTTTTTTGGGGGGGTAGGCAGAAAGTTTACTGAATAATTACTAAACTTTATATGATGTGATATTTTTAGCTAACTGAACTCATAATTGTAAATCCTAATGAGTACATTTGCACGGTAAATATTTATTTTGTGCCATGGATATTCCATTCAACATGTATCTCTAATTCCTGTTCTAGGCAAGTAGTTCAAACACAAGTAATCCGAATTACAGCCCAAAGGCATCATCCTCACTTGTAAGTTAAATACAATATGCTATTTTCCGTCTTAACTTCTTTTACTACATTGTCTAGTTTTATAAATTAAAGTAGCGAGATTAGTTAACTGATCAAAGTTATTATAAATGGATAACTTATTTGATCTCACAGTGTCGTAGGTTCGTGTAAAAGGTTTTATTTTTAAAAAAAACTTCACGAAGTGATTTTCACTAAAACAAGCTATAGAGTCATCAACGCTCGTACTCGAAACTGATTTTCGTAAGCATCCTATCTATCCAAGTCAACTGCCTTGTACTGCTTGCTACAAGGCAGTGTTGGACATGTAGTCCTACGATTTATGTTGAAGGACATAGATATGTAGATCATCAACGTAGATGATCCCTGTCGAGTGATTGGAAGACTACTCGAGTTAGACGGGAATGGTGTAATCAACAGTTAACTTTGAGCTCACACCTCGCGGTCAGCATCTAACGTGGGTTACCCCTTCGACGTATCAAAGTACTAGGACTGTTTTAAAGACCGTTCAACACATAGGACGTTATTACGGAAGTATATTAGTAAGAATAAGTACAAGCGAAAGTGCGACCACCACCGCAAGAACTAGTCCATGGCGTACGGTTAACTGATGCGTGTTAGTTGTCCCTGACCCTGACGAAAATTGATGATCTGTTTGATATTCAGTAATCCAACTGCCAGATGATCTGGCTAGGGCTCAGTGACATTTCAATGGCCCTACAAATAAATCTGGGGTAACCCCTATCACTGTTAGTTTGAATAGATCATACATCGCACTAGGCAAGTGTCATCCGGGAAAACGATTGAGTATCCCCATCTCCAAATAAATAAATCTATACTTTTGACTTCTATACTATAAAATACGCAGGTTATTTATAATAGTTCTTCTGAAACGATGTATGGGTGAGGAAGATAATGATTAGTCGTTTGTTTAGTCAAACTAGTAGATAATCTGACAGGTAATAGATGAGTTATTTATTCTCCTACCCTGGATTATGAAGACCTCGACATCTGAGGGAAAACACGGCATACAACGGACAGATCAGAAGCAATTAGACGATTTGGATTTCGCAGATGACCTAGCCCTCGTATCCAATACACACGAACAAATGCAGATAAAGACAGCCAGTATAGCAGCAGTCTCTGCATCAGTAGGTTTCAACATACACAAGGGGAAAACCAGGGTCCTCAACTTCAAAACGGAGAACAGCAGTTCAATCACTCTTGATGGCGAAACTCTGGAAGATGTAGAGTCCTTCACATACCTGGGAAGCATCATCGATGAACAAGGAGGTTCAGATACAGACGTTAAGGCAAGGATTGGCAAAGCAAGGGCCGCATTCCTACAATTGAAGAACATATGGAACTCAAAACAACTTTCAACCAATATCAAAGTCAGAATCTTCAATACGAACGTCAGGGCAGTTCTATTGTCCGGAGCTGAAACTTTGAGAATTAATACAACCATCATCAAGAAGGTACAAGTATTTATAAATAATTGTCTACGCAAGATACTCAACACCCATTGACATGATGCCATCAGTAATAGCCTACTGTGGGAGAGAACAAGCCAGCTTCCAGCTGAGGAGGAAATTATTAAAAGACGATGGAAACGGATAGGACATACATTAGGTGAATCATCAAATTGCATCACGAGGCAAGCCCTGACTTGGAATCCTGAAGGGAGGCGGAAAAGAGGAAGGCCAAAGAACACGTTACGTCGGGAAATAGAAGCAGATATGAAAAGGATGAATGACAGCTGGAAGGAGTTAGAAACGATTGCCTAGGACAGGATTGGATGGAGAATGCTGGTGAGCGGCCTATACTCCTTCACGATGAGTAACAGGCGTGAGCAAGTAAATGACCCTTTTTATTTATTGTGTGTTGTTTGTTCTTGGTGTGGAAATATATTTACGTTCTAGTCAGGCTAATCACTTAAAAGTTTGTCTCTTTACCATTCGCTTTTAAATACATACATTAACTTGCTTATTTAATTACTTTTTGTTACTCTAGAATGACAAATCGAGCTTATCCAGGTGAGTCTCAGTTTCTATGGCTAAGTAGAGCTACTGATTTTAACTACTTACCCCCACTAACAGCATGCTGTTTATGAGCGGAAATAAATGTTAGTTCACAGGGTAAATTAAATCTGTATTAACTAAAGGGCTAGCTCATAAGTAAAATCGTTTTTATAATTCATCATGCTTTACACCAATCAGAAATAAATTAACCATACAAAGGTTATTGGTATTCGAAGAGACTATAACAAACGGATGTTATATTCCCTTACATTACCAATAAATTTTTTATTGTTCATTGATAACGGAGTAAGTTCTAATGATCGTATATAATTCAATGATAAAAATTGATATATTTTATAAAATTTTGAAATAATTTATCATCATATATTCGATACATTATCACATTAGTAACAAGTATAAAGTAGACTTTATTATAAATAAATAGAATTTGAGGAAGAATTTAGTAGTATGTAATTACAATAAATTGTAACATTACTGCCCTTTAAAAAATACAATGACTGCACTTAGTTTACCCGTTATTTGATAAAAAGTAATTTAACTTTCAGGTATTTTAATATTTTGTAGTACTTTTTTATTAGTTAAATTATTTGATTTCAACGACCTAGTTATAGACTGAAATGCACCTCAACCTACTCTGGTCGAAGTTGCCGTATAGCCCATACTAAAAACTAACTTCACGTTTGACAATCTGTACAGATCTTTTGTCTTAATATTAATCATGTACCTAACAATGACCAATGTGGAGACGGATTTTTAAAATTCTCGATAAATGCTTCGACAGGTGGATTAAATCGCACAGACAGTGAGACAGTCATTACTGATGGTATTAGATAATGGTTAAAGTGCTAGCTTTAGGCCAATCGATTGCAGGTTTAAAGTTTTCCCATCTTACGTTGGTTTGGTCAACCAAGTAATATCACTACTCCTGAATTAGTTTACAAAAAATTAATTAAGTTATAATCTTTTTTTAAACTGTTTTAACTTCAACTCGTGTATTAACCATTGGTAAATATTTTATTTTCCAGGGAAATCAATATCAGTCCAAAACAAGTTTTTCGTTATATTGATTTTTATCTATTATGGTGCATAATGTTCTGTGACATAATACCAATCACCATCATTACTTCTGCGTACAAAGTAAGAGTCACATTTACATTCCATTCATTTAAATGACATTAAACTACTCGTAAGTATTTTTGATAAATACTCCATAACAAATATATCTATATTTGTAGACCAGTTAGTAAATCAAACTATTCAGTATTATGCCTTTGGCAGTTACATTGAAGAAATGTTATTGTTGTTTGATCGAATAACTATGAGAATAGTGGTGCCTGTTAATTGAAATGAATCAAATGTTTATTGATTTGGTCGCTGTACCATCAGCAGAAGTAATCGTGTTTATATGACTAAAACAAACTTTATACTCCTATTTCCGATTAATAGTAATAATAATAATTTAAGTTCATAAAAGAAAATGATCAAATATTCAATTTCAACAGATATGTATTTGCCTCGTTGAATGTTTGTAGAAAATACACAATCTAACTCTAATATACCTTGATTTCATTCCGATTCGTTCAATAAGTCAGAGTATTTAATTGAGAAAATATTGATAAGAACTCATGATATTTCCCATGGGTACGTCAACGTCACTCAATCTTTAAAATAGGTGTACAAAATCAACAATTTATATTTTAAGTTCGAAGAAATGAAATTTCATTTTATCTAAATCCTCACTGCATCACACTGCTCAACTTCTCACATACTGAACAAGTTATAAAACAATTATTTGTTCTTAGAAGCAGAAGTAATAGAATAATTACTTATCAGATTTAGTTTCATACTAATTTGTTGTTAATATTCAATTTTTAATGAAAAATCATGTTGTAGTCATATTTTCATTATCTCTTAGTAACTAAAGGAAACTGCTTCAACTGTTCATAAAAATTTGATTTAAAAATACAGATGATGTCCCAAACATTCGGCTGTTTGCGTTTTTTTTATACTTTAAACAACTATCACGATCACTGATTAAAGTTGATTAAGTATGGTTTATTGTATATTTATTTCAGCTATTTGGTCAAACATTTATTAGCGATGACAGATTTTTGTCAGCTGTGGCTACAGCTTCATCATTGTTCAACTGTGCAGGACGTATTATCTGGGGTGAAATTGTTGATCGCGTCTCGTTCAAGGTAGTTTGAAGGATGATATGAGAATTGATTTAAACTAAAGTATCTCTAAATCTTTTTTATAGATGCTATAAAACTGCGAACTAACTTTTACGTTCTTAAAGTACCATAGAAGACATTTAGTTAAAAATTTTAAAAAAGTAAATAAAACCAAATTACTGGAAATAAATTAATCATACTAATTAGTCACATGGAAATATGTTATTTTAAAAATCTAGCTTTAATGTATGTTCGTTCAAAAATAACCTGGCAGAATATCTGGAAACATTATTACCGTTCGAAACTAGTGAAAATTAGTTTAATAATGAAGGGTACGTCTTGGATATTATGAAGACGTTTGACAAAATTCAAAAATTTAATATACATCAAAATTCATATTAGCACCTGAACCAGTTAAGAACTTATTAAATTTTTTATTTATTTACGAACAGTGAAAAAAAAACATTTTTTTACTTAAATTGTATAGTATAATCGATTATTAATAACTGACTACTTTAATAAAATTGCAGTTACCAATGTGCACAATGTTACTTACCTGGAGTGTAATTCTGATAACATTTCCGCATATCTCTCTGTTGACGGGGACAACATTAAAAGTTTTTTACACTATATGGGTACTACTCTTATTTTTCACATTGAGCGGTACATTTGTTATTCAGCCTGCGGCAACTGGAACTCTGTTTGGTCCTGTTCATATGGCTGTTAATTACGGCTTAATATTTAGTGCATTTGTAAGTTAACAAGTTTTTTTTCACTTTTAGTATATTCATTATGCAACCCAGTTATAACTATCTTTAAATTCGGCCGTAATATGAGCTTTAGAATCGATACAATCGAAAATTGAACTAGTTATAAAGTCATTGATTTCAAGTTTGTGAGAGTTTTGGAAGGCGTAAGCATTTCGATTAGTGGATTCTTATAACGTCAAATAGAATTCAGTATTAGATACTTCAGTGTACACATAACTATTATTTATCCTAATTTATATATTGAAGTTTACTTTACCCTAATACATATTTTTAGGTTTCATGATCTTCCGTTGTTGTCTATGTCGCTATTATTTTTTTATCCAGTTAATAATATATTATTTTTAAATTCATCTGTGTGCAGTAGAGTAAATATATCCCTGGTTCTATATTGTGAACTTATTTTTGCCCGGTTGTTGCTGCTACCTTGACGTGATGGTCAGGCTCGTCTGTTATAATGAACCAGTCGAGCTATACTGGCTGAAACGATCGTTACTCAAGGTCCTACCATGCCAAACAGGTCAGTTGAGGAGCGGTAAGAGTAAAAGCAGTAAATCCAAAGTCCGAGGGCGAAGTCGTACTGCTGAGTGTACAGAGGTGTGACGGCTGTAAGGTGTTTCCTTCCGACAACCAGCATAACAGCGATGTTGCCTTCCCACAAGGAGGGGTGGGGTTACAAACTATGTACCCTGAAAATACACATCTCGCCTTACTCCACTGATTTCCGTCCCCGGTGGTAAGATCTCAACAAACACGGAGCAAACACAAGAATTACTGGTCGTGTGTGGCCGGCCTCAAGCAGTTGTCCCTCGGTCACTGCGGCCACGCTCTCGGGTCACTAAGACCAACTCTAACCCGATTTCCTTTGGAGGTACCTCTAGAAGAACTCTTCCACGGTGTGGGAAACTGAGAAGTAATAGCGATCCTCATACCTTTAACAGCACTCACGTTCACTGTTTTCATAATCAATTTCCCTCTTAAGTTTCCGTAATCCCTCCTACCTTGACTTTCAATTCTAAACGTCCTCCTTTGACTTCTTCCCCACGTGTTACCACGGCCGACGATTCTAGTGCGCGAAATACTGTCCCAAGTCTACTAGAAGCTTGGTCCATACTACACGTTGGAGCCTTCGAAGTACCTACCGTGTGTCAAATCGAAAGACTTGCCTCCTTAGCTAGGACCGCAGAATCTCATACGATTAATATACACTGTATCTCCGGAACATGCATACAGGATCCTGGTTTGGTCATTCAGGTGACCTAATCTCGCCAAAATAGGAAACTCTCTGTTTATCTGGCAACCCGATGGCTAGTTCTCGTGGACTGTAGGGCGTAGGCATAGCACTAAATATGAGGGGAGGAGATGCACTTCTAGAATGGATCCCTGTTAATAGCTGCATATGTGTTGTTCGCTAAACGGCTCCAATAGAGCTGGGAAGGATAGGAACACAAGTCATTGCCTTTTCGTCATTTCTGCCCACGCTACCACTGACCGCAGCCCGAATGAAGTGAAAATGACTTTTACAGAAAGTTTTCTGAAATTCTTCAAAAAGCTATACACTCAGACATGGTACTCGTAGCAGGTCAGTTCAATGCACAAGTAAGTAGCTTAAACCAAACAGAAAGACATTTAGGCGGGTATTTCGGTATTCCGGATCAGAGAACAGATCATGGTGACCATCTGCCTCAACTGTGCTCAGACAATCGTTTATTTTTGACAAGCATTAATTGTGAGCATAAGGAGAGACGTCGTCTAACATGGCGGCCTCCCGCACCAAACCAACGATGAACTAAAATAGACCATATTGCCATCAGTCACCGTCGGAGAGAATCGATAGAAGCCTGACGCTCGTTCTAGAATATATGCTTAGACTGTGACCATGCTCTAATAAGTGCAGGCATTTGCTTGCGCCTCATTGGACGCAGAAAAACCACATTAAGAAGACTCATTAGAGTTGAACTCAACGATGTGAAAGCCAAAAGTAGATTCCATGAACAACAGAAGTCACACTTAGGTAATCTTGAAAACGAGGCTGACTCAGATATTGCTTGGAAAGAAATACGAGCAGATGTGGAAGAAGCAGCGACATCTATTAGTGATATGAACCAAAAGGTTATGAAAAACCAGTGGATTTCTGCGACATCTATTGCACCGATAGATTGTTGTAACCTTATCCCAGCAGGCTTCGAACACGATGAAGAGCATAAATAAGTCAGTTATATGTTAACCAGAAGTCTGCGGAATGACCGTGGGCAGTGATGAGCAACGAAACAGAAGAGAAGGAACAGGCAGCGTCTGTAGGTAACATTAGACAGCTTTTCAGACTTATGAAAGGCACCGGAATTATGAAGTCGAGTATAGGTAAAACAATCTCGGAAAAAGACGACACTCTTATCCGCTCTCAGTCCAGAAGTTTACAACAATGAGTGGAACACCTTAAGGAGCAGTTCAGCTGGCCTTCGGCTACCCAACATTTCCAGATAGTCTGAATGAAACATTGAAATAGGCCCCTTTACTCCAATTGAAGTTTAAAATGATATAGTTAATCTAAAACGAGGAAGAGCAACTGGTCCATATGGATTAATTCCAGAGGTCTTCAAGTGTGCTGGTCCAGTTTTAGAGATTAAGTTGACTAATATTTTAGCTAAAATATGGGAACTGAATGTAATCCTATCTGACTGGTCGCAATCTCTGGTCGTCCCAATATATAGGATATGATCAAAATCATCCTGTGGTAACCACAGAGGGATTAGTCTGACTAACATAACATCTAAAATACTAGCCTCAATAATTATGAAATTCCTAACAAAGACTCGTGAAATGCAAACACAAGAAAATCAGGTTGGCTTCAGACCTTGTCGTGGCTGGATCGACCACATATTCACCATTTGTCAGATTTTAGAACACAGGCTTGCTTATCGGCGTCCGACAATGACAGTTTTTCTTGACCTAAAAGCATCATTTCAATCTGTATACCGAGAGGTTCTGTGACAGTGTCTGTCATTGGAAGGTGTACCTCAGAAGTACAAAAACCTTGTGAAGGCTCTTTAGTCGAGCATCACCAGTCGAGTCAAAGCTTATGATGAAGTGTCATCTGATTTCGCAACCTCAAATGGTGTCCGGCAAGGCTGTCCATTATCTCCAATTTTGTTTAAGCTCATCATAGACACACTGATGAAAATAACGCTCTTGTCGATTGAATTTTTGGGCGCTGATCTCCTATCAGGAGGTCCACTTATTGTCTTATGATACACAGATGAAATAGTTGTGTTTGTTGAAGATACTGATAAAATGCAGTGTTATGGTAGTGCTGAGCAACAATCCGAGGATGTTTGGGATGCGTTTCTCCTCCTCCAAATGCAAGTTGTTGCTTCAGGACTGGTCTGCGTCAACGCCTGGACTAAGGGTAAGGAGTGAAGGGGTCAAACGCGTCGACAACTTCACTTATCTTCGGAGTCTAATCAGTCCTAATGTGTTAGTATGTGACTAAATCTCTGCACAAAATCAGGAAGATAGTTTGGCTTTTGACAACTCATATCAACTATGGCGTAGATGATATATCCGAATGTCAACAAAAGGACGAGCATTCTGTGAGGCAGTTCGTCCTATTTTACTTTACGGCCGCGAAACGAGGCCATTAAGTGTAGAAGATACTCTTAAGTTACTAGTAATTAACCACAGATGTCTTAGGAATATTGATCGCATCTCCTGGGATCACCGGGTAAGTAATGGTGAGGTTACATGCAGGGTATTAGGGAAAGATGGTAAACCGGTTGATGAGGTTGTAAATCTTCATCGACTGAGATGGCTTGGCTGCGCGTTACGTGTGCCTGAACACCGATTACCACGACGCGCAATGCTGACTAGTGTTGTGGATGGTTAGTGTAGTGTGTGCTACTGATTTCGATAGATATAAGTAGTGTGATTCATAAATCAAAAGTGAAATGTCTGGCAGCACAATGTTAAAAAGATCGAATGAAAGAGAATTAGAACAGAAAATGAATGGTGTGGAAATGAAATAGCAATGATGTCTGAAACGATTTATTGACATTTCGCAAATGAAGAATTTACTGTATGGTTTTCAGATTTTGCCAAGAGATTCTGTAATTATGTACTTAAATACGTTTGGTTGTTCTCGTTAACAATTTGTTTGACGTCCACGCAACTATTGTAACCAGTGGTCGGAGACTCAGAGTGATATAGCTTACAGTCGATCACAATGGCGTAGATGTATACTCTCTTCGTCTTCCATTAAACTGCGAGATTAAAATTGCTTTATACCCTTCTTTCTACCAACTAATTCGTTCTCCCTGTGTCATAACCTTATATGAAATGTTTCTTTTACTACCATTGAAGCAACTGCTTCTATGAATTTGGTGTTCATCTTGTTGTGCTAATGAGATGTGGCAACTTGGACCGATGCATATATGTGCCTGGTTCAACGTTGTAGCTGACTGACTGACTTATGAGTATAATGTGAGCATCACATCTTTTATATTTTACCATAGTTAATGTTTTCTTAGGCTTGGACCGTGTGTTATTTCACAACCCATGAACAATGAATGCCCTGTTCTGTCTTCTGTACACTAAAATATTTTGTTCAACAAGAAACTGGCTTTCGTTTATATCTAAAACATCTGAGACATAACCTGTGACTTCTAATTCAATAAGAGAAATACATCTTTTTGTCCGTTCAAACACATATTTTACTACTTCACTACATGTAAAATGATTGACATTGAATATTCGAATGGCTTTCTTCAGCTAATCTAAGTGCCTTAATCTTAAGCCATTCACTAAATGCGCCTAACGCATTATTAATTTCAACTCACTTTGCTTACCATAAATTCTCAGGAAAAACTTCCCAGGTATCCAAGATTGTCTCAGAAAATTCAGTCCTCAATATTAATAACCAAAACTAACTGCATATATCCATCGTCATTTTTACTTATGTTTGTTACCCTTCGTAGAGGAGCATAGGCTGCCCACCAGGATCATCCATCCAACTCTACCCTTGACAATCCTTTTCAGTTGCCATTCATTATTTCAATGTTTGCTTCTGATTCCCGACTCAATATATTCCTTGGTCCTCCTCTTTTCCTTTTCCCTTCAGGATTCCAAGTTAGGGCTTGACTCGTGATCCAGTTTGATGATTTCCGCAATATATGTCCTATCCACCTCCAGCGTCTTTCCCTAATTATTTCTTCAGCTGGAAGCTGGTTTCTTCTCTACTATAGTAAGTTGTTGCTGATGGTACCTGGCCAACGGACATTGAGTATCTTACGTAGACAATTGTTTATAAATGCCTGTACTTTTATGATGACGGTTTTAGTGGTACTCCATGTTTCAATACCGTACAATAGAACTGTCTTGACGTTTGTATTGAAAATTCTAACTCTGATGTGTTGAATGGCGGTTATTTGTAGTTCCATATACTAACCAATTGTTAGAATACTGTCCTTGCTTTGCCAATCCTTGCCTTTACATCTGTATCAGATTCTTCTTGTTTATCAATGATGCTACCCAGGTTTGTGAAACTTTCCACCTTTTCCAGAGCATCTCCATCGAGCGTGACTGGGTTGGGGTTCACTGTGTTGTATTTCAGGATCCTGCTTTTTCCCTTGTGAGTGCTGTGACCTACTGCTGTAGAGGCTGCTTCTACACTGGCTGTCTTCACCTGTATTTGTTGCTGTGTATGAGATAGAAGAGCTACGTGAAGTCCAAATCGTCTAGTTGCATCCAAGCTGTCCGTCCACCTTTCCACAAACTCGTCTATTGATTGACTAGGTGTTTAGAACTAATCCATAAGAAAGTAGCTTCCTACAGTCTGAAGGATAGTTTCGAATTCGTACAAAGTTTGGACAGCCTAAATGCTTCTGATGAATTCATGATATCTTTTGATGTCTCATCTCTCTTCATAAAGATCCCTTTGGCTGATATACTTATGGGAAACCTGGAACAGAGAAAGTTAAAGTATTCTATCAAAGAAACCACTCTTCTGTAGATATATTGATGACACATTTCTTGTCTGCAACATTCATCAGCATTCTTTGTACCTACTCGATCTGATTAACAAAGCACACAAGGATATCCATTTTACTATGGGATATGAAGCAGAAGATAAATTCCATTTCTTAGGTATTGGAATCAAACGAGCCTCAAGCGGCATATTACAAAGACACATTCACTGCAAAACACAACAGTTTCTGTCCAATGAGTTACAAAAAGAGATTTGTACGGACCCTTTTTGACCACGCTCGTAAACTTTGCTCTACGGAAAGCCTGGTAGAAGAACTTGCTTTCATTACAAATTACCTACAAGAAAATGCATATCTGGCGAGATTCATAGAGAAGTGTTTCATAACCAACGTCCGTGTTAAATACTATACAGTATCAAAGAAAATCTGCTTCTTATATCTGCTCTTCAAAGGAGATGACATTACTGGAATAATCAACCACAGGATAAATGCCGCGTTGGAGGTTGCTTATCCATCAGTGAGACCGACGACGTTGTATGAAATTGACAGGTCCTCTTTTCTCTGTACCTCCTACTGCATTGACGTACGTACCAAAGCACATACATTGGGAGAACAGAGAGATTAGTACATGTTCACATTTCCGAGCATGTTTAAAAAAAAGTGAGACTGAAATACGAAATGGCTGTAAAGAGTGCAATAGCTCGGCATTTACTTGACACCGGGCATACCATTGACACGCCACAAACTTTTAAAGTTATTAGCAGACAAAAGAACGCATAGTCTGTTTGGTTTGCAGAGACAATAGCAATAAAAAACTTAAACCTAATTTATGTATCCAGAAAAAGATGATAATAACCTTAGTAAATTAGTTTTGTCATTATCATTATTTTGTTGGTGTCAATTTTGTTATATGGTCTCATTTTATGTAAACCAAAACCATTACTTCACGCATACGTTTTCGTTCACTTGATTAACTCTTCAAATCCTGTTCAGTTATTACGTAACTTATCAATCTTTAATTCCAGTAATCTTATTTCAACCCTTCATAACCTCTAAAATTATCACACAATCTATTTTACCTGTCTACGGACCTTATTTGATTAATCCATCACCCTCTTCTTATGTTTTTAATTCCGACTCCATATGACCTCTAACATGTTCTTGAATATATATATATATATATATATATATATATATATATATATATATATATATATCAACTGTTTCACATTGTACCTCACCTGAATTTTGGCTTTCAATACATTTGTGTTTGTAAGCAGCTGATGAGAAACGACGAAATATAATGGATTCACAATATTCTGCATCAATGCTTGTTCTGGCTTTATTCAAATTAATGTCCATTATATTCCGTGCTTGTCATGACATGTGGAGGTCTTCATAATCATCCAGTCAACCACCAGAAAAAAAGGAGAGTAAGCAACCTTGTCTAACTCCGGTCCTCATTTGCAATGCGTCTATCAGCTGTCCTCTTTGCACAACTTTGCAGTGTAGTACGTCGTATGAATTCCGTATGGTGTTGACGATCTTCTCAAGTACACCATAGTGTCGAAGAAGGTCCCACAAAACTTGCCTATCCATCCTGCCAAACGCTTTATCGTAGTCAAGGGAGTTTGCGTATAGTGTCGAGTCCCATTCAATTGATTGTTCAACGATAATCCGTAGTGTTGTGATTTGATCCGTGCACGACCGATCCTTACGGAATCCAGCCTGTTGATCTCAAAGCTGTACATCTACTGAATTTTTTATCCGGTTCAGCAACACTGTTGGAAACGTTTCCTGGTACCGATAGTAGTGTGGTGCCTCTTTATTTCTCACATTTGCTCAGATCTTTCTTTGGTAACCTGATAAGATATCCTTCTTCCCAATCTGCCGACACTTGTTCTTCTTCTCAAATCTTCCTGAATAGAACGTGGAGTATATTTGCAGTTGCTTCTATGTCAGACTTCATAATTCAGGTGGTATATTATCAGGTTCTGATGCTTTCCCACTCTTGATCTGTCTGATGGCCATTCTGATTTCTTCGATCATTAATGGAGTGACATCTACGGAAAGGTCTATAGGTGCTGCTTTGATATCCGATGGATTCAATGAAGCTGGTCTATTAGAGAGTTCCTCAAATTGTTCTACCCATTTGTACCTCTGTCATTGAATTTTAGTTATTAGCTTGCTGTGTTTGTCTTTGACTATTCTCTCTGATTTACAATACTTCCTTACCAGTTTCTTCATCACTTCACATAGTCGTTTTATATTTGTCCTCTTACAGCTTTTCCCACTGTCGTTGCCAGCTCTTCCCCATATTTCTGCCTTTCGGCCCCAATGCTCTTCTTCACCTGCTTGTTTGCTTCAGTATATTCAACCTGTGCCCTGACTTTCTCTGTTCTTATTCGGCAGTTGTTAAATGCTGTCTTCCTTTTCTTCCTTGAGTCATGCACAGTGTTTCGATAGAAATCCATTCCTCATGGTCATGCTTCTTGCAACTCAGCACCTCCTGAAGTGTTGCAGCTGTTGCTTCCTTAATCCATTTCCAGATGTTCTCCACAGTAGTTTTTTCTTCTTTCAATAGATCTTGTAAGGCTAGGATCCTGCTGCTGAGTGCTATTTTAAATTCGTAGAGTATGCCCGTGTCTCGAAGGAAAGTTGTGTTAAACCTTTTTAATGTTGTTTGTCTTGTTCTCCAGTGCTTCTTTAGTCTTAGTTTCACCGTAAAAAACAACCTTGCTCAAAAGACGCTAACCAGTCATTCACAGTAAATATAATATCCAGTATAAATACGCGCCATTCCAATTGCTACATCCCTCTGCAGTGAAACTAAACGGGAAATTTACAATACGTACGGTGTATTTTCCATAGAGCTAAAAGCAATAGAAAATTAAGAAGAGAAATATGAGATCTGGTAATCACAAGCATGAGTCGACACCAAATTTATGTTTTAGAAGAAGATTGCTTTTTACAAACATGTAAATACAATTACATACCTAATATGTAATAAGTCATCACTGTTTCGGTAGTTTTTATTAAAATTTGAAGTGTAATATAGATCAAATACGATCACCGAAAGTGTAAAATACATACAATACTAAAATCACAAGACAGTAGAAAAAATAATAAGATTGAAACTAATAACTTAATTGAATAACAGACACTACAACTACCATGAGACCTGTTTATCTATTTAAGTGAACATAAATTTAATAAATCTCACTGAATATAACATGTAATTTAATTTGTGTTTTATGTATTTTTTTAAGACTGTAGGAAGTGTTTTATGTGCAACGGTAACGACATTAGTGAGCTATCAAAATGCATATATAGTTCAGTTTACTGGCTGTGGTTTTGTATGCTTGTTCGGTAAGTAACACAGTCCAATTTCAATGTCGAATAGTTTTAATAATGAAACCATATAGTGACAAGATTCTGACAGGTTTTCATCATCAAAATTAAGATTAGAGCTTAAACATTACTGATCTGTTATCTTACTAAAATACTTTTAAGGGTATGTTGTGAAATTTAGCAGTGCTGAGGTTTACCTGGAAAATATTCAAAATAGCTAAGACCTAGCAGTTATAAGTTACAACACAACTGAGCAAATTTAAAGCTATTAAAATAAGCATAATCCTATTCTCACATCCATAACAAAATGTACTTATTATATGTGAATTCTAATTAAAAATACTTCTGAAACACCAGAGCCCTGAAAAATTATACTTTAGTGGAATTTAGTAGGCGAATTCTGATATATTGTTAGACGTATTTTGATAAATTATCATGTGAGTAAATTGGATAATTTATCAGGCTTTAATATATCAGGAGCATCAAACCTACTGTTGTAGCAATAATTCATATAACAGTTAGAGTATCTGTAAACTAAGAGATTAACAAAAACAAGGCCTATTAACTAATAAAAGATCACGTTACTAATTAACATACAACCTTTAGTGACCTTAGTGTTCGGATAATTGTTTTCTTGTATTTCTGAAATTATCTATTTAGAATCCGTTTAAACCATGATTGTACATGGTATCCTATTCCTCTCAGATCAAGTTGGCTTATTTGATTTTTATCAATAAATGAACTGAAATATCGTACGATGTCACCTTGAAAAATAACTTAAGCACCGTATGTCACAAAATATCACGTCCACGTTTCGATGTATCAGTAGTAGCTCATAGAATTTGCTTTCTAAACAACAACTAAATTATGTAATTTCTTTCGTTTTTTCTGTTATTTATTGAGATAGCTCTAGAAAAGTTAAAAATATTCATAAACAGACTGTTCTTGGGATTTAAAATTGTTGGGATTTAGATACTAAGAAAATGTATAGTGAAATTCATTCTTGTGAATATTATCCACTCAATAGTTTTAAAATATGTAATCGTTAGATGTAAATTATGCTTGAACATTTAGCTGGGATATAGTCTGACAGCTTAGTTTAACAAGACGTTTGTAAATAACTACTAAAAATGGTCATTTAAATTCCTTTTTATTGTCCAAGAAAAGGTTTACTAAGTTTTTGATACATAAAAATTTAAATAAAAGAAAAGAGGTAACTGCAGTCAACCCGAAAAATGTTCAACGTAATGATTTGTTCATAAAGAATCTTGGAAAACCATTTCTTAAGATGCGATCAACAGTCTTGTTTGGCTATACTAAACACTTATCGTAAGCAGAGGAAATTTTTTTCAAATATATGACAGTTTGTTTGATGATGAGTCCCATGGATGGATTAACTATTACACTATAATTTATTTTCCTTCTTATCTATTCGATTCTACGGTACGACTGTTACAGATTTCCTGAGTAAAAATAATGTTGCTTTAAAGTTTTACCTTTTGTTAAATGATATACAAATATTTTAATATGATGAAGTAACTTGCTGGTCATTTCTCACGCTTAATTTTGTTTTTTTTTCTTCATTGTTAATAGCATTCTTTCTTGCCTTATGGATTAAAGATCAAAAGATGCCTGAAAAGGTCAACCGTTGTCAACTGTGTACTGATACCTGTCGAAGTTTAAGAATACCTCAGCCTATTAGTGTAACTGCCGAAGAACTCGAAAGACTTAATCAAGCTAATCCAAACAATTAAAGAAACACTCGAAAAAAACAATGCTAATATGATTATTTTAATCAACTAAGCTATAGTTAACTTAGGTTCTTTGAAAACATGAATAATCTTTTCCTGCTCAACAACCATCAATCGTTTTGTTCTTTTTTTCCTTCGTTATGTTTACTACAGAAATTATTGAGTTTACCAAATTGTCTATGTGAATTTTATGATATACAGAACATTTTTTTCTTCTAAAAACCATCAGATTTATAAAACGACTCTTAAATAGGCAGGAAAATAACGCACTTTCAAGTATACATAAATATGTCATGTTTATACCATCTATGTTTTCATTTGAAACTGTGTTTGTCAATGGATAATCTTTTTTTAATTTTCTTGTTTTTATGCTTTACTTCCTTATTTTTTTCTTTAACTGGGAATAATTCAAAAATCACTATTATTGCTAATTTGAATCTAATGCTTTATGTTTTAATTGATTAATGTGTGATTCATTCCCAATATACATTAGCGAACATTTTCATACTGAAGTAAGAAATATATTGTTATATTATAAATGACATTATTTGCTTATATACACAAAAAATCAAATCCAGTGAGTTAGCATCTTTACTACAAAATAGTTCGCGTAAATTTCAGTTGTTGAGATCATGAGTCAATTGAAGCTAGACCACTATGGAAAACCTGGAAGCATTGGACGGCCGTTTCGTCCTATTGTGGAACTCCTCAGTAGTACGCATCCACGATCTCGCCTCGCGGGATTTGAACCCATCAGTAGTACAAACTTTTCTCTGTTACTCCCATTTTGTTTTAAATGTTAGTTACCAAGGAAATCTCAAAGGAATTATGTAACAGCATAGTTGCAGCACAGTTGGTGTGATTAGATCCCCACAAATATGGATAGGTGTAATGTAGGACATGATTTACATACACTGAAGTATATGATATCTTAGATGAAGTCAATTATATAATAATGAGCTGGATGGTAAATTGTTTCGATATCACCAACCTTATAAAAATGTTTTATGATTTTAAAAAAGGTATTTTAGTTAATCAGAAAAAAGCTTAGTACCTGGAACCGTCATTTATGGGAGCTGAAATTCAGTATTCATCGTTTTAAAGGTGATCTAAAGTAAAAATATGTCTTTTGAGGTATTTCAGTTTTTGACTAGGGTCTAGATAATCAAGTTTCGGACCAGTTTATAATTTTGCTGACTTTGAAATGATACTACTGTTTTCTGTGATGCCATTTAAAATATATGACAACATATTATTACTTCTTTAAACTAAAATGTGAATTTCTTAACAAAATCAGTGGGATATTTGAAGGCTTTTTCTTCTCTCAGATGAATTATAATGGATGAATAATAACCAATACTGACAATCTTACATTGGTAAATGAGGTCAGAGAAACGTTTTCATAAATAGTTTCCGTTGAATATTTCATGATAACATCTTTGTTTTTATTATGACTTAAGTGACTCATATAAAAACACTGAAATAGAGGTTGATAAACAAAATGTGAACTTATCATTTCGAACCTGGCATATGTTTAAAGTTAACTAAAGTATTCAAGTTGCAATTTACAAAACAGATTATTATATCAATTAGCCACAATAAAGGTAGGAAACAACGTAAATACAGTAAATACCATTATTTGTTGTTCAAAACCTAATAGAAGATCGATAATCAGTATTTATCTGGTTGAGAAATTTTACAAGATACGTAGATGCTCGACATAATTTGAATAATTTATAGAAATGAACTGATGGTTTACTAGTTAACTTGCTTCGTAAACCGACACTAAAATCATCAGGGTCTCAGCTATTCATAAGTCCGCATAGCACATAATTCTGTTAGGTGTAACATAACATCCAAACAAAGAACATTTGCAGTAGTTTATCCATGAAACAGTTGTTTCTTTATGTAAACTGTTAATGAGTTGAAATCTCTTTTGGTTTATATTATAATTTTAAGGAACTGCTGTAAAATCAATGTCTGCAACGTGATACCATTATGGTATGTTCATAACATAACGTCTCTCAGTTTCGATATAGTATAATGCTCATTAGTAGAACTGCCGAAACGGAGATGAAAATTTACGAAGTCTAAGATATGATAACAGCAACTGAATTAAGACATGTTCTCCGCCTTAACGCTCTCCACGTACTCCGAACCCATTCTAATGATGTGTAAAAACTATAACCTAGAATGTAATTAGTCTACTTCATGTACAATCGTTTCATTTGGAACCCTATTGATTTTCAAAGCTAATAGATAAATTTATTCTACATATTATTACATTTTTCGCTGCAAATATTTAAGTAATTAAGCCTATAGTCTTTACATTTTCGTTCACCTGAAATTGTTTAACAAACTCGTGATCTGTAGGTACATCCATCTGACGAGCCTCGAATAGGACGAAACGCGCGTCCTGGATTCCGCTGCTAGCCACCATTCATCTTTGCTTTTAATCACAACATTTATTGAAAATAGACTGTCCATCATACGTTTAAAAATATACGTTTTTGATTGGTCATAGGGTAAACGGATAAAGGGTAAGTCGAACACATTTCACACAGTTAAAAATGATATTCCCCCCTTTCAGTTATCAACATCATAAATACGCGCCCTTTTGATAGTTGTCCTTATTAGCGTACACCCTTTTGCTCGCACCCTTTTTGGTGTGAACCTTATCATTGATGCTTACACTTCTCACCTCTTCTAGTGTGCTTGCCTATTGCATATCTTTTGATTCTATTAATTATTAACAATACACTCTGCACCAACAGCTAGTGTTCTGGCTTCCAAGTATTCTCAAGTAGAGTCGTAGTGATACTGGGAGAATTGGCCTACTAAAATACACAGTTAACGAGATATTTTGGAATAGTATAGTGGAATTATCCACCACAGGTTTACATCGTTGAGAAACAAACTGGATAAATAATATAAGGGGTGGTAATTTCATTATTCCTTTAGAGATATTAAATTCTAGCGACCCTACTTTCTGGATAAGTATAATAATAACACTATATAGCTTCTGCTATGTATCTTTTGTATGCATCGTCGCTCTGCCAAATCCCATTACTCTTGGTTTAAAAAAGTTAGCCAAATAGATATAGTGCATAAATACTATCAATTACTGAATTTTTCATTATACAACAAAGCAATCTGTATAAATATGAATGGGCTGACGTTCCACTTATAATCAGTCATCTGTTTAAAGTACGAATGAATGTAATACACTCGTTAGATATCTGCATTCATATCACTCTACTTAATTATTGAATACTTCTGTGAAGATCTCTGTTTTATGAAAAGAAAAACTAGATCCTGATAAAATTGTTCACTGTCTTTTGACTTCCAATGATTGTTGGACTCACATCATTCTATGATGGTAACTATCTTCAAATTACAATATATATTTAAAAATACTAGCACTCCAAGACGTCGACAAGTAACACGAAGTTCCAAAATGGAATGCCTTATTCTCTAAATAAGAAAATAAGAATTCATTTCACTTGATATCTTAATACGGCCAAACTAATATGGTATGAATAATTTTTTTAAAAAAAATTAATAAATCAGAACCTATGAAATTATTTTTTAAGTTAAGAGCGTAGTTGGCAGAAATCTCAATCTAAAACAATCTGTTTTAACAACGTTTATATTGCTCAGCTAACATTTTAATCCGTTACACCCTTTGAATTCCCCTACATGTAAATTTCATTAGGAAGTATTAACTATTAAAGTTTATTGATTTTAGTTTCATGAATAAGTCATTATATTTGAAATAATCTCAGCGATTGAAATTTAAATAATTCCAACATTTCGTCTAACAAACTTGTCTGAACTTCTTCAGGGTAATAATCAAAATCATCAATGAAATATATAGCGTTTTATCAATCAAATCAGATCAAATCTATACCGTGTCAATGTTGATTTTTAATAAAAAGGATAACATGAATCAGTTAAATGCGAAACATGTGAAAAGTTCACGATATCAAAATAAATAGGAAGAATGTATTTGTAAAATCTCAGAGAAAGAATTTGAAGTATATCCAACGTTTCTCCTGGCAATCTGGTCCAAGCTTTTTCAAGGAAAATATAATCAAACAACAAAATTATCGAGTATAAATGGGTACATGGCTCTCTGGTTTACTGTATACTGAATAAGTCATCCAATCAACGTGAACAATGTTTAATGTAGGTATTTACATTAGTGTGTAAGAGACATGTGGTATGAAACAAAAAGTGTTAAGATAACAGATTGTGTGTAGACGTAAGTGATCTGAAAAGAAATTTCATTCACTATATATCGTCTTCGGTCTGTGTCTATCAACAAAAACATCATTTTATATATAATATGAACGAAAAATGTCACAGCATGCATCAAATAAAGATTAATAAAAAGATTAATAAACAAGGTAAAAGATTGAATTCAGAGAGGAATGTATTTGTAATTGAAAGTTTGTGTTATTTTAATGTTCCAGTCAATTGTTTAACATATTCAGATAAGGTAACTGATTTGAACCGTTAAATGTATTATCTATCGACTAGTTAATATGATGTAGATAGCTAGAATGGATAAGGAGTTCAGGTTTACTTATTAATTATTAGCTACCATGGGACAGCTAGTTGTACTCCATCTCTCCTATTAGTACTGTTTGGATTAGCCCATATATGTAGGGCTTCGGCTGTTAGTCGTTCTTTGTAAGAATTAAAGCCTTTCTGAATGACTCTTGCGCCATTGAAATCAATCGTATGACCCGATTCTATCGAGTGTAATGCTATCGCTGATTTGTTCTCAAGTTTTCTTCCATCATCTGAGGATTTAGGAATGTGCTTTAAGCACAGTTTGTGTTCCTTTACCCTCACACTCAGTTGCCTTGACGTCTCACCTACATAAGTTGCATTACAGTCATTACATTTGGTTTCATAAACACATTTCTGTTGTTCTTCCTTGTGAATTGCATCTTTGATCTTAGAGTATTGTTTGTTCGAAAGAATACTCTTATATTTTGAAGAGTTAGAATCCTTCTGATCTCTTTTGAAATACCTTTACGATATGGGATCACCACTGTGTTAATCCATTCTTTTCGCTTAACTCTTAATTGTTCTTTTAATAAAACCCTTCGGATAATTATTCATCATTAGTGTGGATACAATTAAATTCATTTCCATTTTTATATCATTTGGTTCAGTGACAAGTTTTTTGACTCTGGTGATCAGATTTTTGGCTACTGTCACTTTGGTAGAGTGTGGATGCGAAGACTTAAAATCTAGAAATTTCCCTGAGTATGTCGGCTTTCGGAAAATACTAATTTTTAAACAATCATTACACTTCCTTTCAACTAAGCAATCTAGAAACGGTAATTTGCGTTCAGGAGATCCTAACTCTTTAGCGAACTCGATTTTGTCATAAACCTTGTTGACACATTGAAATAGTTCGTCTAAACCATCTCCTTTTATAATGAAAATAGTGTCGTCTACGTATCTTAACCAAATCTTCGGTGAAATGGAACACATTGAGATATTGTGAAACTATTCGTTCAAA